CCCACGGCCCTGCAAACTGCAGAGGCCCTGTTTACACACGTCTTCCAGCACTACGGGGTACCAGAGGATATAGTGTCTGACCGAGGTCCCCAGTTCACGTCTGGGGGTCTCGGTCAGCCTGACCTCTGGGTTCCACCCCGAGTCTAATGGGCAGGTGGAACGGGTAAATCAGGATGTGGGTAGGTTCCTGCGGTCCTACTGCCAGGACCGGCCAGGGGAGTGGTCGGTGTTCTTGCCATGGGCAGAATATGCCCAGAACTCTCTCCGACACTCCTCCACTAACCTAACGCCATTTCAATGTGTGTTGGGTTACCAACTGATTCTGGTACCGTGGCACCAGAGCCAGACTGAGGCTCCTGCGGTGGATACTGGTTTTGGCGCACAGAGGAGACATGGGACGCTGCCCACGTCCACCTCCAACACGCCAGTGTGTCGTCAGAAGGCCAACGCTGACCGCCACCGCAGTGAGGCCCCGGTCTTCGTACCGGGTGATCGGGTCTGGCTCTCGACCCGGAATCTGCCCCTCCGCCTGCCCTGCCGGAAGCTGAGCACGCGGTTTGTGGGGCTGTTTAAAGTCCTGAGGAGAATCAACGTCACCTATAGGTTATTACTTCCCCCTGATTACCGTATTAACCCCTCATTTCACGAGTCTCTCCTCAGGCCGGTGGTGGCTGGTCCGCTCCAGGAGTCTGAGGTGCGGGAGGTCCCTCCGCCTCCTCTGGACATCGAGGGGGCCCCGGCGTACTCCGTCTGTTCCATCCTGGATTCGAGGCGTCGGGTGGGGGGCCTTCAGTACCTCATGGAGTGGGAAGGGTACGGTCCGGAGGAACGGTGCTGGGTCCCGGTGAGGGATATCCTCGATCCCTCCCTGTTGCGGGATTTCCACCGTCGCCATCCGGCTCGCCCTGCTCCGCGTCCTCCTGGCCGTCCCCGAGGCCGGGGTCGGCGCGCTGCTGGGGCTGCGCATCAAGGTGGGGGGGGGGGGGGGGGGGGGGTACTGTCACGACTTCCTCTGATGCAGCCTCCCCTCCTTGTTTGGACAGGCTTCGGCGTTCGTCGTCACCGGCCTACTAGCCACTGCCGCTCCATATCTCATCATTCCATTTGTCTTGTCTTGTCAATTACACACACCTGGTTCATATCCCCTCATTAGTACATGTATAAGTGTTCACTCTGCCCCCCTTGCCCTTGTGGGTGATTGTTATTTGTGAGTTGAGTGTACCTCGGTTGAGCTACCCGTACCTTGTATTTCCGGGGATATTGTTCCCCGTGTGCCTGTATGTTGTTGACGCTATCCAGCATAACTGTGTCCTACGGAATAAACTCTGTATTCGGTGATTTACCCTCCTGCGCCTAACTCCTTCAAATCACATTCTCAAACGTTGCACCAAGGGGCCCAATACGTGCCATGAAAACAGACCCAACACCATCATACAACCACCACCAGCATGCAATGTTGACACGCGGTATTATGCATTAAGAAGGAAAGAAATTCCACAAATTAACCTTTAAGAAGGCACACCTGTTCATTGAAATGCATTCCAGGTGACTACCTCATGAAGCTGGTTGAGAGAATGCCAAGAGTATGCAAAGCTGTCATCAAGGCAAAGGGTGGCTATTTGAAGAATCTCAAATATAAAACATATTTTGATTTGTTAAACACTGTTTTGGTTACTACACGATTCCATATGTGTTATTTCATAGTTGTGATGTCTTCACTATTATTATACAATGTAGAAAATAGTAAAAATAAAGAAAAACCGTTGAATGAGTAGGTGTTCTAGAACTTTTGACCGGTAGTGTATGTTAACGTGGGCTATTTTTAGCACTTTTCTGGGATGCTTGATTGTTTTCATTGCTTTACTGGGAAGCTTAGCAGAAGTAAACATGCTCATGTTATTTATGTGTGTGCAGGGTGAGCTGCACACAGTGGACTTCCTACCAGGGCCCACCGCCTCAGTGCTAACAGTATAACACTTGCTCATAGACACATGATTACTGCATGCAATACCAACGCCCATGGGATAATGCTGAAGCATTATGACAACTCAGCGACACAATGGTAGGGATTAACTGAGCTGGGCTTGGGTCATTGATAAGTCATTGTCTCAGAACAGCCTTATAATGCTGTGAAAGGATCCAGGAACCCAAATTATTTTGGTGGATCCCATCCTCCTTATAAAATGAGCTTTGTTTCCTGAAGATATCAAAATTGTCAATAAATGTTATACCCACAGAGCTGCAATAGTCACGTAGACAGTTATGGAGGGCTAGAAGTCTTCTGAAACGTTCAATGCCACGGTTTAGGGAGGGCACAGGGCCAGATATTATGGGGAGTTTGTTGGTGTCAAGCAAAGACCCAATCAGTTCTTTAAAATCCATCTTCAGCTGTTCTGAGCTGCCCTTCATTATGTCATTGAATCCCACATGAACTATGATAGACTCCATTTCCTGATGCAGGTTTAAAATGTTTTGGAGCAGCTTATTGATGTCCTGTACTCGTGCTCCTGGATAGCACAACGTTTTAGCTCCAGGAACTGAGACATTTCTCACCATTGAACTGCCCAATACAACGGCCAGAGAAGGGGTTGGAGAAATCCACCCATGTCCTGGAAGGCAGGCAGTGTGCTCCCTATGATGCGTTGGTCTGACCGCACCACCCTCTGGAGAGCCCTGTGGTTGCGGACGGTGCAATTGCCATACTAGGTGGTGATACAGCCCGACAGGATGTTCTCAATGATGCATCTGTAGAAGTTTGTGAGGGTCTTAGGGGCCAAGACGAATTTCTTCAGCCTCCTGAGGTTGAAGAGGCACTGCTGCATCTTCTTCACCACACTGTCTGTGGGACCATTTCATGTCATCAGTGAATGGACGCTGAGGAACTTGAAGCTTTAGTCCCTCTCCACTGTGGCCCCATCAATGTGGATGGGGGCGTGCTCTCTCTGCTGTCTCCTGTAGTCATGATAAGCTCCTTTGTTTTGTTGATGTTGAGGGAGAGGTTATTTTCCTGGCACCACTCCGCCAGGGCTCTCACCTCCTCCCTGTAGGCTGTCTCGTCATTGTTTGTAATCAGGCCTACCACTGTTGTGTCGGCAGCAAACTTGATGATTGAGTTGGAAACATGCGTGGCCACGCAGTCATGGGTGAACAGGGAGTACAGGAGGGGGCTGAGCACATACCCCTATGGGGCTCCAGTGTTGAGGATCAGCGTGGCGGAGGTGTTGTTGCCTATATTCACCACTTGGGGTTGGCCTGTCAGGAAGTCCAGGACCCAGTTGCACAGGGAGGGGTTGAGACCCAGGGCCCTGAGCTTAGTGATGAGCTTGGAGGGCACTATGGTGTTGAAGGCTGAGCTGTAGTCAATGAACAGCATTCTTACATAGGTATTTCTCTTGTCAAGGTGGGATAGGGCAGTGTGCAGTGCAATGGCGATTACATCGTCCATGGATCTGTTGTGGCGGTATGCGAATTGTAGTGCATTTAGGTTTTCGGGTAAGGTGGAGGTAATATGTTTCTTAACCAGCCTCTCAAAGCACTTAATGATGACAGAAGTGAGTGCTACGGGTTGATAGTCATTTAGTTCAGTTACCTTCGCTTTCTTGGGTACAGGAACAATGGTGGACATCTTGAAGCAAGTGGGGATAACAGACTGGGATATGGAGAGATTGAATATGTTCATAAACAATCCAGCCAGCTGGTCTGCACATGCTCTGAGGACGCGGCTTGGATGCCATATGGGATATTGAGTGAACTCAGTCCAGTCTTAACTTACTGTTGCGAGTTAGAATAGTATAATACACAAGGTGCAATTTCAAAATGTGGTTGCGCATCAGCAGTTTTTCTCTTGTTATGTCAGTCACTGACAATCAATTAGCTCATGTCAGCTAATATTTTTGGTAAATTAGTCCAGCCAGCTATCTAAACTTGCAGTAATCATGGACAAATTACCAACTAGGGCCCCCCATTGATTTTGTTAGTCACTCTCACGCTGAAATTATAGTAAAAACTGCAAACATTTCTCTCCAACCTATGGCAAAATGAGTCGAATTGCATGAAATGTGTTATAAAATTGCAAAATCTTTGCTCCACCCCATGGCAAAATGTATAGAATTGCAGCAAACTTGCTTTAAAACGGCAACATTTTCTTTATGCCCCATGGCAAAATGTGTAGAGTTGCAGAATATTCACTCTAACAAATGTTTTACTTGCAAGGTGAGGGCTCCATCGCATTTCTCTGTGTATGTCTCCATCGTGTGGCCATATTTAATACTGAAAGCTCATGACAGATGCAATTAATCAAATTTCACATTTTTCAAACATTTCTAATTTGTGCTTCTGCATTGCTTGCTTTTGGGGGGTTTAGGCTTGGTATCTGTAAAGCACTTTGTGACAGCTGCTGATATAAAAAGGCTTTATAAAATACATTTGATTTGAGATGCAAGCAGCATAACATCCTTTTTTTCAACAGCAGGACAAATATAGCTTACATCAAACAAAGGTCTAGCCAATAAATTCAATTATATACTGCCCTAGATAGAACATGGGTGACTTCATAACTAATAAATAACGATGATCATTCCTAAGAGGTGTCCAGCAGATTTTTGTTGTGGGCCATAAACTCAGTGAGGTAAATCATTTCTAAAACCATGGACAGCGACTTAAACAACACAGCTCTTTGTGTTCCTAGAAGCACATGGTTAAAATGCATGGGAATGATTTCAGGCTTTTACAGGAATTTGGGAAACTTAAAGGCAATGAACAACTTTATGGCAGCAGCTGACAAGGCAGTTAAGGAATATATTATAGGTTGTCCATTTGAAGTGTCCACATTTCTTGGTTCTGGAGTAGCCTACACAATTTGCCTCATCTGTGAGTGGACAAGCGCATATGTATCGGTAAATATGTGTGTTGCATGCGTAATATTAGAGTAAATAAGTAGAATTGTATTAAATATAAAGTTTAATATATACTTTTGTAAAATTCTGGTTTATGTTTTCAGAAATATAATTGTGGTGCTTTTCGTGTCACTTTCCCTGATTCTGAGCTCCCGGGTTTTGGGGCTCGCAACAGACGGTTTGATCCATCTGAGTAGGTTTACTTTACGCGCATAACATTATTTCAAAATACTAGATTTTTTTTAACCATTTATAGTAAACTAATATTTTTGTGACTTTTTTTTCTTCAGAAAATGTTGCGGGGAAGCTCAGCTTCATTCAGAGAGAAGGGAATGCGACTTACGTGCGGGACAGGGAGCTGGCCTCGGAGGTTCCAACCGAGACCAAGTTCGAACTGTTCGATCCAAGGAACACTTTACGCACTGCCATATTCACCTATACCTGGGACTTTGGCAACGGGTATGTCTGCCTGTTTCTCATCGAATATATGTTTTGTTGTTTTCCTTTTCGCAGTTTAGGCTATATATTTAAATATTATGTGGTTGTTTTATTCTGGTTTTGTAAGGGAGGTGCTTGAGGGATCGGAACCGTATGTGCACTATAACTACTCGTCCTCTGGAAACTACACTCTGTGGCTGAGAGTGGGGGCCCAAGTGAGCAAAACCTATATTCCACTAACTGGGGTTTACACCATGGACGTTACAGTGTTGGGTAGGTTGACAGAATACACATCATTTTTGTTTAGAATTATTTCGTTTGAAATTGTGTGTATTGCATATCTCTGCTATTTTCCAGACCCCATCAGAAATATTGAGTTGAAGGGCCCTTTGAGTTTCCAGGTTTCCAGAAACAACAGTCTGGCTATTCATGTGGATGGAAGGTGGGTACAATTTCTCAGTAGGATTAACACACATACAACATCATAAACATGCATAACACATCAAAGAATCAGCTCATTTATTCTCTCTCTCCCTCTCTCTGTTTCCCAGTCCTCCCATGTGGGTGTGTTGGAGGTTCCTACAGAACTGTGTATCAGCAACCCCTACAGGCTGTCACCTGACCATGCTGTATAATAACACATTGAGACTGAACCACACCTTCACGGCTTTAGGAGTCCACTGTCTGGACATCAGCGCCCGAAACGGCATCAGCAAACTGCAGACCTCCCACAGCATCTTCGTGAGGAGAGATCGTAAGTCAGGTGTTATCATGTGATCTGTGGAGATACGGTCCAGTTTAGTCGCGCTAGGCAGAAGCTACAGTACAGTACACACTCTCTCCTCTAACTATGAATACATTATAGACTAGTTTGATATAGTACAAATGATCCATCTAATAGTACAGTGTCGCTCAGCAGTTCTGGTGGCACAAGGGGTTTTGATCAGAATTTACCTCTTTAGATTTCCTAGTTATCCCTGTAATCTTAAAGGGATACTTTGGGGTTTTTGGCAATGAGGCCCTCTATCTACTTCCCCAGAGTCAGATGAATTTATAGATATACTTTTTATGTCTTTGTGTGTAGTTTCAAGTTGCTAACTAGCGCTAGCACAATTGCTAAATAATGTTAGCACAATGACTGGAAGTTTATGGGTATCTGCTAGCATGCTAGCAGATACCCATAGACTTCCAGTCATTAATTGTGCTAATGCTGGTTAGCATTGGCTTGCAAAAATACCTTGAACTACCTTCATACTGGACACAGAGACATACAAATAGTATCCACGAGTTCACCTGACTTTAGGGAAGTAGATAAAGGGCCTCATTGCCAAAATCCCAAAGTATCCCTTTAAACTGAACCAAGTGATAGGGTGTTCAGATAAATGAAAAGATGTCAGTGGGACAGTGGCCAGGGTTGAGGAATGCACTAGGGAGTTCTGGAGGAGAGTAATTTAATGCAAGGCCCACAACCCATACTGCACATGTCTCCTGTGGTGAATTGATTTGTGATGGGTGGTACGGTTACAGAGGAGTTTCAGGAAGCTTCTGACCTCATTTTAATGCATAGCAAATAGATTGTTTAAAACCAGAAGACTAAAATATGGATGAATGATTGTAAAAGGAACATGATTCAGTGGTGTACAAAGTAAGACAAGAGGAGACATCTGGTGGTGCTTGAATAATCATTTACGCAGACACTGGGGAGTATGACAGTTACTAATTGGGAGTTAAGTCTAAATAGGAAATCAATTTTGCTTGCACAACTTCTGACCAGTATTCAAGCTTGTCTAACTGCATCATGTAATACTGTAGTATTAAAGTATGTGAAGTGTTTTCCCTACCTTGAACTATGGTAAAAAAACAGTTATCTCTGTCTCCTAATAGCCTCCAATAACCTGCTCTTCATCCTGCCGTGTGCTGGGATCATCTTGGCAATCCTCACCTTCATCACTGTTATAGCCTGTCACCCTCAGAAGGGAAACAACAGCAAACAACAGGTAGGAGACTGTTTCAATACTCCTCCCAAAGATATGAGGCTATTCTATAACACAAGGGGGTGATCTATACCTAACAAATTGACTAACTATCAACTACAAATAATGGCCGTGGCTGTAGAAAGCACTGTCAAGCAGTGTTGTAGTACTCGAGTACAGGACTTTAACTTGACTCGGACTTGACCAGTGGTGACTCTGACATTGATTCGGACTCGACCAGTAGTGACTTTGTTGTTCGATGGTGATTTGCTCAGTGTATTTGTTCTTGTTCCGTATAAAATTGCTAAGAAATGTTGAGACACTGTAGCCTTACAAGCACAAAAAAAAGTGTGTCAGTGTAAATGGTTATATTTGTTTGTTTATTTATTATGTTACAGATGTCTGGGTACAGTAACGCCACTTACTCCAGCATTAAAATGGAACTGCAGCCCCATCAGGACATCCCTGATATCAGTAGTGATCTGTATGTATCCAGGGCAGAGAAAGGAGAGGTCCAATCCCTTCTGTTACAGCATGGGACCAGATCTGTCGCCTACTCATACTGAAACTAGTCTTCATTTACACGCCTGTGATTTGGGCTTTGTGCTGGTCTGATTCAAGTCCAATGCTAATAGTTTGCTAAAAATGTATGGTTTGAGATTAATATACATGTAATGTAACATTGAACTATAAATTATTTCAGTGATGTATACTGAACAAAAATATAAATGCAACATGCAGCAATTTCAATGATATTACTGAGTCAATTGAAATAAATTCATTAGGCCCTAATCTATGTATTTCACATGACTGGACAGGGGCACAGCCATTGGTGGGCCTTGGAGGGCATAGGCCCACCCACTGGGGAGCCAGGCCCAGCCAATCAGAATGAGTTTTTCCCCACAAAAGGGCTTTATTACAGACAGAAATACTCATCAGTTTCATCAGCTGTCCAGGTGGCTGGTTTCAGACGATCCCGCAGGTGAAGAAGCCGGATGTGGAGGTGATGGGCTGGAGTGGTTACACATGGTCTGCGGTTGTGAGGCCGGTTGGATGTACTGCCATATTCTCTAAAACGATGTTGGAGGTGGCTTATGGTAGAGAAATAAACATTAAATTCTCTGTCAACAGGTCCGGTAATTATTCCTGCAGTCAGCATGCCAATTGCACACTCCCTCAAAACTTGAGACATCTGTGGCATTGTGTTGTGTGACAAAACTGCACATTTAGAGTGGTCTTTTATTTTCCCGAGCACAAGGTGCACCTGTGTAATGATCATGCTGGTTAGCTTCTTGACATGCCACACCTGTCAGGTGGATTGATTATCTTGGCAAAGGAGAAATGCTTACTAACAGAGATGTAAACAAATTTGTGTATAACATTTGAGAGAAATATGCTTTTTGTGTGTATGGAACATTTCTGGGATCTTTTATTTAAGCTCATGAAACATGGGACCAACACTTTACATGTTGCGTTTAAATTTTTGTTCAGTATACAGTGAGGGAAAAAAGTATTTGATCCCCTGCTGATTTTGTACATTTGCCCACTGACAAAGAAATGATCAGTCTATAATTTTAATGGTAGGTTTATTTGAACAGTGAGAGACAGAATAACAACAAAATAATCCAGAAAAACGCATGTCAAAAATGTTATAAATTTATTAGCATTTTAATGAGGGAAATAAGTATTTGACCCCCTCTCAATCAGAAAGATTTCTGGCTCCCAGGTGTCTTTTATACAGGTAACGAGCTGAGATTAGGAGCACACTCTTAAAGGGAGTGCTCCTAATATCAGCTTGTTCCCTGTATAAAAGACACCAGTCCACAGAAGAAATCAGTCAATCAGATTCCAAACTCTCCACCATGGCCAAGACCAAAGAGCTCTCCAAGGATGTCAGGGACAAGATTGTAGACCTACACAAAGCTGGAATGGGCTACAAGACCATCGCCAAGCAGCTTGGTGAGAAGGTGACAACAGTTGGTGCGATTATTCGCAAATGGAAGAAACACAAAATAACTGTCAATCTCCCTCGGCCTGGAGCTCCATGCAAGATCTCACCTCGTGGAGTTGCAATGATCATGAGAACGGTGAGGAATCAGCCCAGACCTACACGGGAGGATCTTGTCAATGATCTCAAGGCAGGTAGCTTAGTGGTTAAGAGCATTGTGCCAGTAACCAAAAGGTCGCTGGTTTTAATCCCCGAGCCGACTAGGTGAAAAATCTGTCGATGTGCCCTTGAGCAAGGCACTTAACCCTAAGTCGCTCTGGATAAGAGCGTCTGCTAAATGAAAAAAATAAATAGGCAGCTGGGACCATAGTCACCAAGAAAACAATTTTTAACACACTACGCCGTGAAGGACTGAAATCCTGCAGCGCCCGCAAGGTCCCCCTGCTCAAGAAAGCACATATACAGGGCCGTCTGAAGTTTGCCAATGAACATCTGAATGATTCAGAGGAGAACTGGGTGAAAGTGTTGTGGTCAAATGAGACCAAAATGGAACTATTTGGCATCAACTCAACTCGCCGTGTTTGGAGGAGGAGGAATGCTGCCTATGACCCCAAGAACACCATACCCACCGTCAAACATGGAGGTGGAAACATTATGCTTTGGGGGTGTTTTTCTGCTAAGGGGACAGGACAACTTCACCGCATCAAAGGGACGATGGACAGGGCCATGTACCGTCAAATCTTGGGTGAGAACCACCTTCCCTCAGCCAGGGCATTGAAAATGGGTTGTGGATGGGTATTCCAGCCTGACAATGACCCAAAACACACGGCCAAGGCACAAAGGAGTGGCTCAAGAAGAAGCACATTAAGGTCCTGGAGTGGCCTAGCCAGTCTCCAGACCTTAATCCCATAGAAAATCTGTGGAGGGAGCTGAAGGTCGAGTTGCCAAACGTCAGCCTGGAAACCTTAATGACTTGGAGAAGATCTGCAAAGAGGAGTGGGACAAAATCCCTCCTGAGATGTGTGCAAACCTGGTGGCTAACTACAAGAAATGTCTGACCTCTGTGATTGCCAACAAGGGTTTTGCCACCAAGTACTAAGTCATGTTTTGCAGAGGGGTCAAATACTTATTTCCCTCATTAAAATGCAAATCAATTTATAACATTTTTGACATGCGTTTTTCTGGATTTTTTTGTTGTTATTCTGTCTCTCACTGTTCAAATAAACATACCATTAAAATTATAGACTGATCATTTCTTTGTGTGTCTTTTGCATAAAAATGTGTGTCATTGTCCCGCAGAAAAATAAAACCCTATCGCACGGTTAGGTTTTCAGAAGACTGATGTGGGTTTCCCACTAACTTTTAACCTGGGCTTAGCTCCTTTCATATTTTTACTTCAGTGGATATACTGTATGTTGCCCTAAGAGTTGTGCAAAGTTGGTAGAATCTTATTCCAAATGATTTACAGCAGAAATGGCTGTCAAAGGTGCTTCCACCTTTTATTTATATATATATATATATATATATATATTTATTTTTTTATTTTTATTTTTTTATTATTAATTTGGAAAATGTTCTGTAACTTTCTTTCACTTTGAAAATGTGGAGTAGGTTGTGTAGATCTGTAGGAAAAAACCCAGAATGTAATCCCTTTTTAGATTTCATTTTAAGGCAGCAAAATGTGAAAAAAAATTAAAGGGGGTGTAGCCTTTTATAGGCACTGTATATATATATTTTTCAAGAGTAGTCTCAGTGATTTCAATAACCTCAATTGAACAATGCAGAGACTGGATAAAAGGGTAGTCAACCGTGAATGGTTGTCAACTCATTTCACACTGCTAGGTCGGGGACTTTGAGACTGCGGTAGCTTTGTCCATGAGGAGAATCTCAATTGGTTTTACTCTACTCCTATCGCCTATCTCCTCCGTCCTCTCCTCGTCTGCTTTTTAAAAAGGTAAAAGGTAATCGAGGAGTGGAGGCAAGGAGAGGAAACATAGAAACAAATGTACTTGTATGAAATGAAACTCTCCTTCTCCACTCGCACATCATCATTGTCTCAGGATTGTAAGTTGGTGGTTGGGGATATCCCTCTAGTGGTGCGGGGGCTGTGCTTTGGCGGAGTGGGTGGGGTTATATCCTTCCTGTTTGGCCCTGTCCGGGGGTTTCTTCGGATGGGGCCACAGTGTCTCCGGACCGCTCCTGTCTCAGCCTCCAGTATTTATGCTGCAGTAGTTTATGTGTCGGGGGGCTGGGGTTAGTTGGTTATACCTGGAGTACTTCTCCTGTCTTATCCAGTGTCCTGTGTGAATTTAAGTATGCTCTCTCTAATTCTCTCGTTCTCTCTTTCTCTCTGAGAACCTGAGCCCTAGGACCATACGTCAGGACTACCGGGCATGATGACACCTTGCTGTCCCCAGTCCGCCTGGCCTTGCTGCTATTCCAGTTTCAACTGTTCTGCCTGCGGCTACGAAACCCCTACCTGTCCCAGACCTGCTGTTTTCAACTCTTAATGATCGGCTATGAAAAGCCAACTGAGAGACCTGAGCCCTAGGACCATACGTCGGGACTACCGGCCGTGGTGACTCCTTGCTGTCCCCAGTCCGCCTGGCCTTGCTGCTATTCCAGTTTCAACTGTTCTGCCTGCGGTTATGGAACCCCTACCTGTCCCAGACCTGCTGTTTTCAACTCTTAATGATCGGCTATGAAAAGCCAACTGAGATTTATTCCTGATTATTATTTGACCATGCTTGTCACTTATGAACATTTTTGAACATCTTGGCATGGTTCTGTTATAATCTCCACCCGGCACAGCCAGAAGAGGACTGGCCACCCCTCATAGCCTGGTTCCTCTCTAGGTTTCTTCCTAGGTTTTGCCTTTCTAGGGAGTTTTTCCTAGCCACCGTGCTTCTACACCTGCATTACTAGCTGTTTGGGGTTTTAGGCTGGGTTTCTGTACAGCACTTCGAGATATTAGCTGATGAGGCAAATTTTGTTTACATAAATGTGTAAAGTGATAAAACAAATTTGCTAGTTGTTCAATACATTTTATAGATAAAAGGACAAGTAGCGTATAGTTTTATAAATATGTGCATGCTTTTCTCCTTCGAGAAAACAGCTGATTCAAGGGGACATGGCGGATTTTAAAACACTTCTGCACTAGAAGCCGAAAGGATACTCTTGTGTATCCTCTGCTGAAGTAGGTAATCGAGGAGGTGAGCAGACTCCTCTGTTCACCTACTAACTATTAAATTGAGGAGAGGATGTACTCTTTTCCCATGAGAATCTCCCTATGGCTTTCCCTCAGCTGGAAAATTAACCACCATTTCTACCAGGTGGAGTTGCATTCTCTGTCAAACATGCAACCAATCACAGCACACAAACAATTAATTCAAACCGGCCAATAACCTCACATTTCCAAATCACATGATTAACATAATTCACTGTAAGTCGCTCTGGATAAGAGCGTCTGCTAAATGACTAAAATGTAAAATGTAAAATGTAGAAATTGGACTATCATTTCTAACAGCGGAGGCTGGTGGTAGGACCAATAGGAGGACGAGCTCATTGTAATAGCTAGAATGGTATATTGGAACGGAGTCAAACGTGGTTTCCATACGTTTGATGTATTTGATACCGTTCCATTTATACCATTCCAGCTATTACAATGAGCCCGTCCTCCTATAGCTCCTCCCACCAGCCTCCACTGATTTCTAATATATAATAAATAATATATGCCATTTAGCAGACCAATTTATCCTAAGTGACTTACAGTCATGAGTGCATACATTTTTAGATATGGTTGGCCCCATGAAGCGAACCCACTATCCTGGCATTGCAAGTGCGATGCTCTACCAACTGAGCTACGGAGGATCACATTACTGTACTGTAGGCCCTAAATATTTTCTCAAACAGAGATTGTCTATTCCCATCTTGTGGCAAAGGATTTGTTTTAACATCTAAGCAAGGACTGGAGGACTGAACTGTGTTTGCTATATTGGATATATTACTACAGGGGACATTATTCAACATAGGCCTATAATCACAAACAGACTTCTTGTAAGTTGATCTTTATAGGGGCTTTAATGGCCAATTCTGGCTTAAAAATGAAAGACATAGCTACATTCTTAAAAAAGAAAAGACACATGCATACATTGTCTATATTTATATTTTATAATTCAATGCAACCTCAAGATACAGCCAGCAACAGACCCAAGTGGGCAGACCCCCCTGCACTTCACCATACATTGGCGTGCTCCACTGCATGCGCTGCGCAGTTTACCGCGTAATTGTTTGCCTAGTAACAATCCGTAGAACAGAAAAAGACCATCGAAAACGATGGTCTTACAACATCCAAGCCGTTCCTGAATATCATTCCGCCAAGTACTATATTGATGAGGATCGTTGTAGAAACCTAAATAGACATCACATTACGATATTATTTATGTATATATAAAAAATATGTTTCAAAGGAATGCATGAATATAATTATTATCCTAGTATAGTGCAAAAGTGTATATATATCAGGCTGGTTCTCGACGACCGGAAGTCACAGAGGTACCATTTCCTGTCTGTGCTAGTTGGTTAGTTTAAATGGGATGCTTTTTTCCCCAATTACTTTCCTTGAAATATACTGTATATTTTGCTTTGCTTGCTCATTTTGGGATGATGAAGTCGTTAACTAGCGAATGCGTTCATAAAAAGTTAAAAATATATTTATTTTGTCCGCATACTAGCTAGACGGGGATGCAAGGGGTTAGCGCGAGCGGTTTCTTTCTCTTTGGGAAGCTAGCTAGCCTGGTTACTAAACCACCGAGTTTGTCTTTGACTAAACCATCTAATATGGTCGCTTTCTAAGTTGTATTTAATGTGTGTAGTTTATAGCAGTAATTATGTGAGGATTATCCGCGTTAGATATAGCCATATCTTACTGTTGATCTATTTATTTTGTATTTCATTCTACCACTTGCATGCTAGCTAGCATGCTATTGATTATGTCATCTTTGTGCGTCTGACTTGAACCAGAGGCATGATGCTAGTATGTTATGCTAGCTAATTGAATGCTAGATCGCTGTGGTGGAATCATATACATTTGGGTAAATTCAATTAAATCGTACGCGTTTGCTCACTGACCATAGTACTGGTAATGGGCATAAGGAGAATACATTTGTAATTTTATGAGTTTACAAAGACTGCGCGGTTCCTTGCTGTCATACAGTAGAGAGTTTGCCTGACAGATAATTCTTGACACGTTCAATTCAGACTTGTTTTGTATGTTAGTTACTGCAAATCAAATGTCGTATCGTTACTGATTTCTTCCATATTCTCACACGCAGCGCACATTCATTCTCTGTGAGATAGGCGCAGACTCGTGTCTGCTCTACCCCATCGTAACCCTGTCTCTCCCGGCGGGAACCATGGCCTTCGTGCCGACCCCCAGCCCAACGGTGGTGGACCAGACCACCCTCATGAAGAAGTACCTGCAGTTCGTGGCAGCACTCACGGACAACAACACCCGTAAGTGAATGAGAAACTGATAATTTAGTGTGCCGTAGTCTGAGAGTCAGCATGAGCCTGAGAATTCTCCTGTGCCCAGAAACATAATTTTTGCTTGATTTGATGTATACTGTGCCGCTATTGGATGAGTTGTGGGCATAGTTATTCAGTAATCTATGGAAGGTGTGGTTTAGGTATAATCTCTACAGCAGGGGCAATGTGATGAGAGCGATATGCTTTAGTCCAGAATTAGGTACAGTGTATTTGTGATGGTGAGTGACTGAGTGAGTGCGAGTGTGTCTGATAAATGTACCTTAAAACAATCTGGGCGCTGAAAGTAAAACTGATAAGATCTGAGTGTCCCTGTCTGCTAAGAGATGAGAAGTATATGGTGACTCAATGTGTCATATGAACTGTTTAATATTTTTACTGTATCCTCCAACACTCAGCTGATGAAACAAAGTTGAAGATGATGCAGGAGGTCAGCGAGAACTTTGAGGTGAGTTTATACCATAGAAATAGAATAACAAGAATGGGTATACCCATTATGTCTGTGTTTCTACTACAGCTGCACGTTCCAACACTGTTCACGTATATCCTCTCCATAATGAAAACTGGTCTTATGTTAGTGTTGACGTCTTATTCTTTTTCAGAATGTGACATCATCACCACAGTACTCCACCTTCCTGGAACACATCATCCCTCGCTTCCTTACCTTCCTCCAGGACGGAGAGGTGCAGTTCCTGCAGGAGAAGCCCACACAGGTAAGAGGACATAAAATATTGAAATTATTTAATTTGCTTAGGGACAGATAGAATTTAAACATGCAGGCATTGAATGCACAAGAATCAGATTCACCTTGTATTACTCTAAAACAGCAACTGAGGAAGCTGGTGCTGGAGATCATCCACCGGATCCCTACTAATGAACACCTGAGACCTCACACCAAGAACATTCTGTCTGTCATGTTTCGCTTCCTGGAGGTAAGCTGTCACTCACGTCTGATTGACATGATTTACGTTGCATATCATCTTTTCAGCAGAGGCGATGTGATGAGAGCGATATGCTTTAGTCCAGAATAAGGTACAGTGTATTTGTGATGGTGAGTGACTGAGTGAGTGCGAGTGTGTCTGATAAATGTACCTTAAAACAATCTGGGCGCTGAAAGTAAAACTGATAAGATCTGAGAACGCCTGTTTGCTGAGAGATGGGAACTGTGTGGTGGTGAAATGTGCCATAGGAACCACTAGATTTCTGAAACTATCAGAAAGGTATTGTCCACCACACACATGCCCTGAGTGTACAAAACATTAGGAACACCTTCCTAATATTGAGTTGCACCCCCTTTTGCCCTCAGAACAACCTCAATTCGTCGGGGCATGGACTCTACAAGGTGTCAAAAGCATTCCACAGGGATGCTGGCCCATGTTGACGCCAATGCTTCCCACGGTTGTGTCAAGTTAGCTGGATGTCCTTTGGGTGGTGGACCATTCTTGACACATACGGGGAACTGTTGAGCGTGAAAAACCCAGCATCGTTTCAGTTCTTGACACACTCAAACTGGTGCGCCTGGCACCTACTACCATACCCCGTTCAGAGGAACTTAAATAACCCGTCTCCTCCCGTTCATCGACATTGATTGAAGTGGATTTAACAAGTGACATCAATAAGAGATCATAGCTTTCACCTGGATTCACCTGGTCAGTCTATGTCATGGAAGGTGTTCTTAATGTTTTGTACACTCAGTGTATTTAGTCCAGTAAGTAATTATCTGTCCCTAACCAGAACGGATTGACTGAGTGTTTGCATTGCATTGCTCGTTGTTTGTTTTCAGATTGAGAGCGAGGAGAACGTGCTGATATGCCTGCGTATCATCATTGAACTGCACAAGCAGTTCCGTCCACAGATCTCTCAAGAGGTGAGAACTAAGACCTTACTATTCTCCAATCTCACTTTGTGTTGATGATGAACAGAAGACCTGCCTCCAGCGTCTTGCCATGGCTCTATCTCAATTCCTCTTTCCATGATTCCTCGCATCTCCTTGCCTTCTTAACCGTATTGGATCAGACCTTCTCCAATGTGTTTTGAGAATAAAGCAAGGAAAAAGGATGTGAGGAATCAAGCAAAGATGAATTGAAATGGAGCCCATGTCTTGATGCTGAACAGTGCTCCTCTGATCAAGGTATTAACTGTCTTCTGTAATCCTTTATTCAGATTCATCACTTTCTGGACTTTGTGAAGCAGATCTATAAGGAGCTGCCTAAAGTAGTGGTAAGACAACAGAACAGCAGGTGGATTATTGAGCTGTGTGGGAGCTGGGAAATGTTTGGGTCTCTGAGGATGTATGAATCATGTTTTCACTCCTCACTTTTGCTCTCTTCTTCCCTCTTGTCTTTTCTCCCTGTCACTGTATCTCTGTTCTTGTCCCCGCTCTCTCTCCCTCTCTCAGGCTCGGTACTTTGAGAACCCCCAGGTGATAGCTGAGAACACAGTGCCTTCTCCTGAGATGGTGGGCATGATCACCTCGGTGTTGGTGAAGACCGCCCCCGAGAGGGAGGACAGTGAAACACGCACAGTGAGTAGACCTGTCCTAGATACTTCCATAATCTCTCTGTAACTCCTCTTATTACCACTTGGTGGTGTAGAAGCACTGGCAAAGCATCTCAGACCAGGGCTCGTTTTCCCAGGTAGGAATGTAAGGCAGAGAGCTGATGTGATTCATCATAGAAATATACTGTGCAGAACAGACATGATTCTATCTGAATGTTCCTGAATATAGGAAGGCATTGCCCTTGCCTGACTGTCTTCTCCTGTTTGTTTGTTTCTCCAGCACACCATCATCCCCCGGGGGTCCCTGTCCCTGAAGGTGCTGGCTGAGCTGCCTATCATAGTGGTGCTCATGTACCAGCTGTACAAACTGAACATCCATAACGTGGTGTCTGAGTTTGTCCCCCTCATCATGAACACTATCATGCTGCAGGTTTCTCCTCAGGCCAGGTAAGACGTCTGTGTGTGTGCGTTTGAGTTTGTGTGTTGATTCCCTCCTGTAGACAATCAAAATGGCTATTTTTTCTAAACAACCACAATAAATGGTATTAAAGCATAAATCATTATTACATGTACAGTGAAATAGTTTGCTGTGTGTGTGTGTATATATGTTATTCTAAACCCTAACATTGAACTTTCAGGCAACACAAGCTGTATAACAAGGAGCTGTACGCTGACTTTATCGCTGCTCAGATCAAGACCCTGTCCTTCCTGGCCTACATCATCCGCATCTACCAGGTACATATACCCATGTTGTGCTTTTCTGTCCATGTGCCCGTGTTTCAATTTCTCATTTCGTTTTCTGTCTTGTATTGTATTTACCTGGCACACAGGATCATTAATGAAATGTAGAACAACTAAGTTTTCATGAAATCACATTTTCGAAACTATATTTCAATATTGTGTGTGTGTCTCCCTCTGACCAGGACCTGGTAGGGAAGTACTCCCAGCAGATGGTGAAGGGCATGCTGCAGCTGCTGACCAACTGTCCCTCTGAGACGGCCCATCTACGCAAGGAACTGCTCATCGCTGCCAAACACATCCTCACCACAGACCTGCGCAGCCGTACGCATTGACACACTGATGGACACATACAGGCATGCACATACGAATGCAAACTCACTCAGACTAATTCTGACACTTTATTTTCATTCTGTGTTGCAGAGTTCATCCCTTGCATGGACAAACTTTTTGACGAGTCCATACTGATCGGGTCTGGCTACACGGCCCGGGAGACTCTGAGGTAAGACCTTCCTCCTCTCGTCATCCTCCTCCCTGTGCTGCCAACCTGCCCCTCTCATCAAAACACCAGCCTTCATCTTTCATTAGTCGTCATGTGAAACAAGCCGTAGCTATCAGACCTGGCACATCTCTCTTGATGGTGGAGTATATTAAAGGAAATAGGTGTCTTCAAATGCTCTTAAAAGCTCAGGTACCCTCAATGCACTGATTTTATAAGTCACTCTGGATAAAAGCCTTTAGTGTCTGCTAAATGACTGAGATGTTACGTAAAATGTAAAAACCTTCCATTTGATAGTTGTGAACTCTTCTATCCTCTCTTCTGTCACCAGACCACTGGCCTACATGGTTGTTAGTGATCTAACTGTTAACCCTTTATCCCCTCCAGACAATGTAATGGAAATGTAACCTTCCGTTTGATAGTGGTAAACTTTTGCAACTCCCTAACCTCTCCCATCCCCTCTCTCCCCCAGACCCCTGGCCTACAGCACGCTGGCAGACCTGGTGCACCACGTGCGTCAGAACCTGCCTCTCACAGACCTGTCTCTGGCCGTGCAACTGTTTGCCAAGAACATAGACGACGAGTCTCTCCCCAGCAGTATTCAGACCATGTCCTGCAAACTGCTGCTTAACCTGGTCGACTGCATCCGCTCCAAGAGTGAACAGGAGAACGGCAACGGACGGGACATACTGATGAGAATGCTGGAAGTAAGTCAAGCGAGATGGGAAAGGACAGGCTGAATTATAAGAAAAAGGGCAATGTTGTGCCCAATCACAAATCGACCCTGCGCCTCTATACTACCTCTAGGTTCCCCATGTAAGAAGATTATGTTCCTTTTTATGATTATCAAGACATTGACTTCAATAAATCTTCAATCTCTCTCTAATTCTTCTTCAAGGTGTTTGTGCTGAAGTTCCACACCATCGCTCGCTACCAGCTCGCCACCATCTTCAAGAAGTGCAAGCCCCAGTCAGAGATGGGTGTGGTCGAACCTCAGGGGGTGCTACCTGGGGTCCCCACAACTCCTGCCCTCCCAGCCACGCCTGTCCTCCCTGCCCTGCCTCCCCTTGCGCCCCCCAACCCCGTCACCCCCGCCCCTCCCGCCCCCGCCACCTCCTTCGACCGGCTGGGGGAGAAGGAGGACAAGCAGACATTCCAGGTGTCGGACTGTCGCAGCCTGGTGAAGACGCTGGTCTGTGGGGTGAAGACCATCACCTGGGGAATCACCTCCTGCAAGGCTCCTGGAGGTGAGAGGAGCCAGAAAAATGGCCCTTGTGTTACACAGAGGAGAAATTGACACTTTTGAGTTACGCTGTCAAGATTCACCCTGTTTTTTCCATTGGTTTACATCCACACGTCTACTTCATTTTAATGAAAGATAACTCAGGATAAACTAACCTCACGGATTGCTTATGACTCCTGTTGTGTGTGTTGCAGAGGCCCAGTTCATTCCTAACAAGCAGCTTCAGCCCAAGGAGACTCAGATTTACATTAAGCTGGTGAAATACGCCATGCAGGCCTTGGACATATACCAGGTATGACTGCCAGTGTACCAGTAGGGCTTTGTCTTATGGAGAAATTATTATATAGTCATTAGCCATACATTATACATGTATACATTACATTGTGTATAAGAGAGCTCCACTGCCCTCTTAGCTAGCTACAGATTGGTCAGGATATAACCAAATAGAAAACTCTGGGTCATACCAATATATATTGTACATGTGTATACCCAATGTAGAAACTCCAGGTTGTACCACTATCAAGTCCAGTGTGTAACGAGCCATACAGTGTATATACATGTGAATATCAGCGCCCCATCCGTCCTCGGCTAGATGCAGATTAAGCAGGGTTACCGTAATAACCATAATATAACAGCACCCCATCCCCCTCTCGCGGCTAGGTACAGGGTACAGATTGATCAGGTTTACCGTAATAACATAGTATAACAGCTCCCCATCCCCCTCTCCTGGCTAGGTACAGATTGCCAACAACCAGCAGACGTACATCAGGGTGGCCAACTGTCAGACGGTGCGTATGAAGGAGGAGAAGGAGGTGCTGGAGCACTTTGCTGGGGTCTTCACCATGATGAACCCCCTCACTTTCAAGGAGATCTTCCAGACCACCGTCCCCTACATGGTGGAGAGGATCTCCAAGAACTACGCCCTGCAGGTAACCACACTCTGTGGCTGTGTCCAAAATGGCACCTTGTTCGCTATGTAGTGCATTACTTTTGTCCAGGGCCCTAAGAGCAATTTCAGATCTGGGTTTAACGTAACATTTCGGGCAGGTTTCCTGGACCCATATTAAGCCTAGTCCTAGACTAAAGATAACTTTTCATTAAGAATATATATTTTTTTAAAGGCTTGGTTTTGTTTGTAGATTTATGTGTAAACCCTCCCCATCTCCTTTCTCCAGATTGTGGCTAACTCGTTCCTTGCCAACCTGTCTACGTCAGTCCTGTTTGCCACCATCCTAGTGGAATACCTTCTGGAGAGACTACCTGAGATGGGCTCCAACGTAGAGCTGTCCAACCTTTACCTCAAGCTATTCAAACTGGTCTTCGGATCTGTCTCACTGTTTGCTGCTGAGAACGAACAGATGCTCAAGGTTAGGGTGATGTTTATTTTCATAAACCGTGTTGCATAGTTTCGATGCCTCTTCGTCTTGTAAACCCTGTCCCAAATTGACAATGGTTTTTGAGATAACTATCCTGACTGAATTGAAATGCGGAGGAACCAACATTAGTCTTGTCTGAAGGCTAAATTGTGATGTTCACCATACTTTCAAAACCAAATGTATTGATGTCAAACACCAAAATCATGTCTCTTCTATCCCCCAGCCTCACCTCCACAAGATAGTGAACAGCTCCATGGAACTCGCCCAGTCTGCTAAGGAACCATACAACTACTTCCTGCTTCTCAGGGCTCTCTTCCGTTCCATTGGTGGAGGCAGCCATGACCTGCTCTACCAGGAGTTCCTGCCCCTCCTACCCAACCTGCTGCAGGGTAGGTTGCGCCACACACAAAAAGGAAATATTGTTTTGTAGCTTTTTAAGGTTTGTAGCATGTCCCTTCATATTCACTGATCTGAAGACACAGGATAGATGGGTAAAAAAAAACATGGTGGATGCCAACCAGGAATTTGCTTTACAGCACGTCTTCAGTCCTCTCTCCTCACTTTCCCCTTCACTCTCCTTCCCTTCTACCTCCACCAGGCCTCAACATGCTCCAGAGTGGTCTCCACAAGCAGCACATGAAGGATCTGTTTGTGGAGCTGTGTCTGACCGTGCCTGTGAGGCTGAGCTCCCTGCTGCCCTACCTGCCCATGCTGATGGACCCGCTGGTCTCTGCCCTGAATGGCTCCCAGACGCTTGTCAGCCAGGGCCTCCGCACCCTGGAGCTCTGTGTGGACAACCTGCAGCCAGACTTCCTCTACGATCATATACAGCCCGTCAGAGCAGAGCTTATGCAGGTGAGGACGCACGCACAGATGCAGGCAAACGCAACAGAAGCGTGCACACACATCATACACACACAATCCCACCCCCACCCCAACCCCCACATTCAATTTAGACACACATCCAAGTCTCTGCTCTCACTTGCTAACCTTTGACCCCTCATTCCCCCTTCTCCAGGCATTGTGGCGGACGCTGCGTAACCCAGCGGAGACCATCAGCCACGTGGCGTACAGAGTGCTGGGGAAGTTTGGCGGCAGCAACAGGAAGATGCTGAAGGAATCCCAGAGACTGCAGTACGTGGTGACTGAGGTCCAGGGACCCAGCATCAAGGCAGAGTTCACTGACTGCAAGGCTTCTATACAGCTGCCCATGGAGAAGGTATGTCACTAGTCGGCCATTACGGGTGTGAATGGGGGATTGGTGTGGTAGCCATTTTGGATCAAAATGGTGGTTAAGGCATTCGATTGTACTGTGATGGGCATTAAGTCACAGTAGCAGGGTATTGTAGTATGTTCTCAAAGCAAAACTCTAGTGAGGAACATTTTAAAATCTAGACAAGAGACCACTTCAAAACCACTCTAAATTAATTCCACTTATCCACCCCTTTTCTACTTTTCTATTTCAATGTGATTACAAAGCAGAGACAGTAGCTAGAGAACAGTGGAAGTAGCGAGAATAAGGGTGATCGTTCCTCTGAGGGGTAATGAACCCTTGTCAGAGTTGAGCTTCTCTCTGTGAAAGAAGACGGTCTTCCCCATGTAATTAAAGACCTCATTGGGCCTTACGAGCTCCTCATCTCTGCTCCAGGCCTGAATAATCAATCTACAGAACACTGGATGACGACCGCAGTATTTACTTTCTAATGACTCTTTATCTCTGTCTGCTAATAGTGAAAACACACACATGCACACGGTCATTTCTGTAATTGAGTTGACGCTCCAAAGATGGATGCCACAGATAGCGTTCTCTCTCTCGTGCTCTCTCTCTGGAAGTACGTAGCTTAATGGTATTTGCATCATGTGTCTTATCCTGACATTTGTTTGGATGGTAATCCTCTATCTCTGGTTCGTTCAGCCATACCTATGGGGGAAATTAATGGGGTTTTGGGATAAACGCCAAAAATAAGGTCTGAGGTTAACACAGGCTTAGGAGATCTTATACGTTTTGTTCTATGAGATATCAGTCAGTTAACATGACCTTTTATGAATTATGCCTATGTGCTTGTTTTGATTACATATATGCTCAAATTCACAGTGACGTTGGCTGATGAAGATTATCTCATATTTAAAAAAAAATGTGTACGTCTCCTAAGCCTGTTTACCACAAACCTTATTTTCGGCGTTTATCCAAATAAACTCCCAAAGAGCCATCCAAAGAGCCATGGTGGAGTTAGTGCCTTCAAAAAAATCATTACTTAATACTCTCTATTCTCACTCATTTTCTCCCTCTATCCCCTTCTTTTCCTGCTCTCTCTTTTCCCACCCTCTCCCTTGCCCTCTTTGTCTCTGCTGGCCCCCTCACCCTCCCCTTCCTCCTCCTTTTGAAGTGAGACACTCAGTCTATTTAAAGCCTCTGAGTCTCTCTTTATTCAAAACGCTTTCTAATGTCTTTATCTTTATATCTATGTACTTTGTTGAGATGGGATGAGTGCATGTCAGCCAGTAGCAGTGTAGCCCTAATGTGCTGACAGGGCTAAGCTAGTAGAATTCAATTATGCACTCTCCTCCTCTTCTCCTTCCTTTTCCACCAGACAGACCAGCCCTCTCGTTCTTTCTTTCTCTCTCCTCTCTCTGAGTGGCGTTAATTAGTTTATCTTCTGCCTCTTTAAGTGTCCAGCCGCATTGGCTTGTCAGCTCATAATCTGGCAGTTGAACTGGCCTCTGCTCAGCCCGGGCCCCGCACCGTGTTTAGAGGTTCTCTCTCCATGACAGGTTATGCAAAGCGCCGGTTTCAGTCATGAGTTAAACACACTGCCTGAGTGCAGCAGGGTAGTTATTCTACACAGGGTACAGGGCTCCAGACTGCGACCATTTTGTTGCATTTTGTGACCCTTTTACTTGTCTGTGCGAGTTAGTGTTAGATAAAATGCTAAAATTCTCCCAGACGCGACTCATTTATGTGTACAGTGAATATATGCAAATAAATATATCTCTCACTAATTGATTGTACAATGTACACACAAATGTTATGATTTAAGTTTGTGTGTGTGATATGGGAGTTGAATACATTTATTTCGACATTATAAAGAAAACCTTTTATAAACAAAATCAACACTGCCATGTTGATCTGAGCCTTGCTGTTGGAAAACCACATTAGCGTCCTACTTTTGGCTGTCGCAGATGCACCTCCCCCGACCTCGATCCTCGACTTTCGTCTAAGGTTGGTTGCTTTAGCCTTACCATTTTTAAATGCACCAAATATATGCGGTGCTGCTCGTGGCAATGTTAGCTCGCTGAATTTGACTTGATAATTTAAAGGTAATCTCAATGTGACCCGCCAGATTCAGACGCTTGAAAACCCCATTAGAAAAGCTTGAAAACACCATTCCATTTTTTATTTTAGTTAGTTTGGAGCCAAAGTTAATAGTTTCAGTATAAGTTTTATGTTTTCAAATGGGTTTGTTCAGTCTTTTATTTCAGTTTACTAAAGTGTTTTTTTCTTTATTTAGTTTGTGTTTATTATAATAACCTTGGCTCAAAGCACACTATTTTACAATCAAGTTATCTGATATGGCTTTGAAATGCGGAGTGCATGGGAAATTGCGTATCGGCCATCGCAAGTGCACTAGGGCTCATTGCAAAGTTTATTTTAGGACATTACATTTACTGTTCAATTAATACGTGCCTACTAGAAGTAGGTGTTATATTTAGATTTAGTGATCTACAGTTGTGGTCAAAAGTTTTGAGATTGTCACAAGTATTGGTCTTCACAAAGTTCTCTGCTTCAGTGTTACTATGGTATACTGAAGTATAATTACAAGCATTCCATAAGTGTCAAAGGCTTTTATTGACAATTACATTAAGTTTATGCAAAGAGTCAATATTTGCAGTGTTGACCCTTCTTTTTCAAGACCTCTGCAATCCGCCCTGGCATGCTGTCAATTAACTTCTGGGCCACATCCTGACTGATGGCAGCCCATTCTTGCATAGTCAATGCTTGGAGTTGGTCAGAATTTGTGGGTTTTTGTTTGTCCACCCGCCTCTTGAGGATCGACCACAAGTTCTCAATGGGATTAAGGTCTGGGGAGTTTCCTGGCCATGGACCCAAAATGTCGATGTTTTGTTCCCCGAGCCACTTAGTTATCACTTTTGCCTTATGGCAAGGTGCTCCATCATGCTGGAAAAGGCATGGGTCGTCACCAAACTGTTCTTGGATGGTTGGGAGAAGTTGTTCTCGGAGGAAGTGTTGGTACCATTCTTTATTCATGGCTGTGTTCTTAGGCAAAATTGTGAGTGAGCCCACTCCCTTGGCTGAGAAGCAACCCCACACATGAATGGTCTCCGGATGCTTTACTGTTGGCATGACACAGGACTGATGGTAGTGCTCACCTTGTCTTCTCCGGACAAGGTTTTTTCTGGATGCCCCAAACAATCGTAAAGGGGATTCATCAGAGAAAATGACTTTACCCCAGTCCTCAGCAGTCCAATCCCTGTACCTTTTGCAGAATATCAGTTTGTCCCTGATGTTTTTCCTGGAGAGAAGTGGCGTCCTCGCTGCCCTTCTTGACACCAGGCCATCCTCCAAAAGTCTTCGCCTCACTGTGCGTGCAGATGCACTCACACCTGCCTGCTGCCATTTCTGAGCAAGCGCTGCACTGGTGGTGCACCGATCCCGCAGCTGAATCAACTTTAGGAGACGGTCCTGGCACTTGCTGGACTTTCTTGGGCACCCTGAAGCCTTCTTCACAACAATTGAACCTCTCTCCTTGAAGTTCTTGATGATCTGATAAATGGTTGATTTAGGTGCAATCTTACTAGCAGCAATATCCTTCCCTGTGAAGCCCTTTTTGTGCAAAGCGATGATGACGGCATGTGTTTCCTTGCAGGTAACCATGGTTAACAGAGGAAGAACAATGATTTCAAGCACCACCCTCCTTTTAAAGCTTCCAGTCTGTTATTCTAACTCAATCAGCATGACAGTGATCTCCAGCCTTGTCCTCGTCAACACTCTCACCTGTGTTAACGAGAGAATCACTGACATGATGGCAGCTGGTCCTTTTGTGGCAGGGCTGAAATGCAGTGGAAATGTTTTTTTGGGATGGCAAAGAGGGACTTTGCAATTCATCTGATCACTCTTCATGACATTCTGGAGTATATGCAAATTGCCATAATCAAAACTGAGGCAGCAGACTTTGTGTAAATTAGTATTTGTGTCATTCTCAAAACTTTTGACCACTACTGTAGATCATGTGTTTTGAGTTTCCCCTTCCTCTGGGTGAATTATCACCTATTTAATTAGGCCTATACAGTATATAATACTGTATTAGTGCACATAAAGATTAAGGCAAAAAAATCTGAAGTCTTGAGCCCTATTTTGACAGTAAAATATAACAGAAATAATCTCTGGATATACCAAAAACAATGACTGGATTAGGTTGCATATCAAAATATTTTGAATCATTCATTCCTGCTTTGACATGGTATTCAATAAATACAATTGTTACATCTAACATCTCAGTAGTAGATTACCCTTCTTAATAAGGTATTGTGAATGATTTTATATCACTTTATAAGATGACTCAAATGGATTCTATTGACGCAGATTATATAGTTAGTGCCACCAGGGGAAACGTTAGTCTCGAGGCCTGGGGTATTTATTGTTCTACACTGATTATTTTTCACATTAAAAACGACCCTTTGAACCAAGTTAACAACTTAATATAATCCATTTAAAGTGAAGTGTTGAGTAGTGCTGAGTGATTCACTGAAATGTTAGTTATATTTCGGTTTTTAAACAACTAATTGATGAACATCTGTTCAATTATTTGAATTCCATTTCCTTCTGGGTTTTTCTGTAAACTCAGTGCGCACATTGCGTAGTTTCTCTAGAGATAAATCAGATCAGCCTGAACTGTGCGATGTACTAGGGAGTTGAAGTTTTCAACAGGACAAAATGCTACGTAGTTTAGTGCAGAAAACCTGGGTATTAACTACAATGACCATAATCCGATGCGTGCCGGTCTTTCTTTTACGCCTGTAATGTTAGTGTCAGGCAGACACTGAGAGAACAGACAGAAGAATGCTCAATCTGAAAAGACATGATCTAAGTGGTTGTTATTCAGCAGTCACAAAGGTATGCCTTATTTACTTTGAAGAACTATTAAAATAGTGATTTTTGTCAAGACAGCAGAGGCAGCAGCTCTATGGAGATGAGATTATGACTTGGAATGAAATAATAATGTCATTAAATATACACAACAACTGAAATATTATATTAAAATAGACCCTAAGTAATGTGAATAAATGATGGTTAATAAGTGATAAGCAGTAATGGGCAGTCACTACCATCATGGGACTTTTATTAATTGTTTAATCTGTTTTACAGCATTCAGCCCACAGTGCATTTAATGTAAAAAAACAAACAATCGAAAACTGGATTATTTTTAAAATAATCCAACCAAAACTGAACCGACCTCAAAAAGCACTAATCGCTCAGCACTAGTGTTGAACATTTACATTTGTTTTTACTGCGTGCCATGTGACCTTTAAGTCGACAAGAACCAGCTCTTTCATCTTATAATGAATCCACCATGGTCAATTAAATTATTTACTGTAGGATCTTGTTTTGAAGTCTTGTCTGTATGGATGTTGGAAGGTAAATGTATCTCTCTGACTCTGTGTGTTTCCCCTGCAGGCTATAGAGACAGCTCTGGATTGTCTGAAGAGCGCCAACACAGAGCCGTACTACAGACGGCAGGCCTGGGAGGTCATCAAGTGTTTCCTGGTCGCCATGACCAGCCTGGACGACAACAAACACGCCCTGTACCAGCTACTGGCTCACCCCAAGTAAGACTACACACACACACACACACACTACTTAACCCCATATGACTTCAGGTCTTTCCCTCTGCCTTAATTCATCTCCATATATCCCCCTCTCTCCATCCCTCCCTTCCACTTTCCCCCTCCCCTCTCATAATATCTTCCATCACGTGTCAAGCTGTCTCATCAGTGCTGTCTGAAGTGTTACAGCTGCTGATTACTGATAGATGCTTAGGCAGAGAGATGGGGAGGGAAGAGAGATGGAGGGGAGAGTGGGTCGCATTACTATCATTGATCCCCGACCAGGGGCTAATTGACTTTCCCCTCTCTGTTTACACTCCTCCCTACACACACACACACACACACAGTCCCCCCCCCACCTCTGTCAGATGTCTTGATTCATGACGTCCGTTCTCTCTCTCTCTTGCTCCCTCCATTCTCTCGGTCTTGCCGGTTGGTCACCGTGAAAAGCTCCTTTCAGTGAAAAGCATCAGAGCTTTTCTTAATATCACCAAATGCCAAGAAGTGAGAATGGAGCTCCATCGGAGTGGCAGGGGCTGTAAATGAACGGAAATTGATCTGGCAGTCCGTCTAACTGCCCCCCGCCACTCAATCCCTCCCTCCTCCTCTTCTCCCCTCTCGGCCTCTCCCTCTCCTAAAGCAAAAGTATTTTAAAAGGCGGTAATGAATTGGAGCAATCCATCAGGGGTAGCCATGGCATCTGGCATTATAAAACACAAGCTCAAGCATGGAGAAAACGGCCTCTCAATCAAACCAAACTGTCCCCTTCAGCAGGGCTAAATAACACAGCCTTGGGAGCGAGTCGGGGGAGCAGATACCAACCAGTCAGGCACAAAGACTGTCTGTCGGTCCTCAGGGTTATTAGGCACTGGCAGAGACAACAGATTATTCACCCAGAGACATTTACCACAGAATAAAAACATGCTGTGACAGGCCGTGTAAATGATGAATTACAGTTTTAATGACATATGATGCAGTGTTTCCCATATATGCATTTAGCAGCTGCGCACCGCTGTTGCTAAATCGTGGCTGCCACTAACTCTGCCCTCCGCTGCTGAAAAAAATCCTAGGGGAAACACTGATGAAAATGTTCATATTTGAGTGTTTTGTCGTTTGCTTTTGTCTATTGAATGTCCTATGGCGGCATGTTAATTTAGTGTGTGGTTTGCGGTGTGTGTGTGTGTCCAGTTTCACAGAGAAGTGGATCCCTAGTGTGATCATCTCCCACCGCTACAAGGCCCAGGACACGCCGGCCCGCAGGACATTTGAACAGGCACTGACCGGGGCATTCATGTCTGCTGTCATTAAGGACCTCCGCCCCAGCGCTCTGCCCTTCGTGGCCAGCCTCATCAGACACTACACCATGGTGGCTGTCGCTCAGCAGTGTGGTGAGAGAATGCATCTTTCGCTCTCTGCTATCGCCCTGTGTTTTTGTCCCACTTGGACTTCGGACTTGACCGTCTCTCCACCTTTCTCTTCTTTTCTCTCATTTGGCTGGATGCTCTCCAGCTCTTTGTCTCTCTCCTTTGGTATCTCATTCTCTCACACCTTTTTCTATTCTCCTCCTTTTCTATGCTCCTCATGGTTGTTGTGTTTTTGCCCCCCCCCCCCAGGTCCATTCTTGCTGCAGTGCTACCAGTTAGGCAGCCAGCCCAACACAGCAATGTTCCACAGTGAGGAGAATGGTTCTAAGGGCATGGATCCGCTGGTTCTGATCGATGCTATCGCCATCTGCATGGCCTACGAGGAAAAGGAGCTGTGTAAAATAGGAGAGGTGGCTCTGGCTGTTATCTTCGACGTAGCCTCCATCATCCTGGGGTCCAAGGAGAGGGTGAGCGAGAGAGCGGGCTTGGGGGTTTACCAGTTGGATTGCATCACTTTTAAATGCGTGTTGGTGTTGATTTATAAAATGAATATGTTTTGAATAGGATGTGAAGTCTTGATTGTAAGTGTTTTCAATTTTGTCTGTGAAAAGAAGTGCTTGCTATTAGCTCATTCTGCTAATCTTTCTATTCCCCCTCATCTCCCCCCTCTCCCTTCTTCCCTTCTTGTCTCCATCCCCAGGCGTGCCAGCTGCCTCTGTTCTCCTACATCGTGGAGCGTCTGTGTGCGTGCTGCTATGAGCAGGCCTGGTACGCCAAGCTGGGCGGGGTTGTGTCCATTAAGTTCCTGATGGAGAGACTACCTCTCATCTGGGTCTTGCAGAACCAACTCACCTTCCTCAAGGCTCTGCTCTTCGTCATGATGGACCTCACTGGAGAGGTACGGTTATTTGTGGTAACTAACTGTTGCAGACACTAGTCTGACTTGTGTTGACACACAGACTTTAACTATACAGGGTTAAAATAATCAAATCAAATGTTATTTGCTATTGCAAGATGGCCCCTGCCCCCTAAAGACTTTTCTTTAGATTTTTAAGGCGGGGGGGTAAAAACAATAGCTGAATATGTAAAGTTTCACCTCTAGGTGTCTAATGGTGCAGTAGCCATGGCTAAGACCACCCTGGAGCAGCTCCTGGTGCGTTGTGCCACCCCTCTGAAGGACGAGGAGAAGACTGAGGAGCTTCTGGCTGCTCAGGACAAGTCCTTCCACATGGTCACCCATGATCTGGTGAGAGAGGTCACCTCCCCCAACTCCACAGTCAGGAAGCAGGCCATGCACTCCCTGCAGGTGCTAGCCCAGGTCACCGGGAAGAGTGTCACCATCATCATGGAGCCACACAAAGAGGTGGGTCTGAGACGCCGTACCAGAGTTTTGTGGCACATAGAAATTGAACGGGTAATGCAGGATTTTTCATAGCATACTTGGTGACTGCTAGGCAGTGGTAGATATGGTCATTGCTCTACACATTCTACAGATATTAGAAAGACAATCTTAGTGATCATTACCAACTGGCCATATGAGAATGGAATCACGGATGCAATTTAAAATACACTACACACACTAACCTTGTGTGTAACCCCCCGACTGTAACCAGTTATAACCCCTCCCACCCACAGGTGTTACAGGACATGATCCCCCCTAAGAAACACCTGCTGCGCCACCAGCCGGCCAACGCCCAAATCGGCCTGATGGAGGGCAATACATTCTGCACCACCCTGCAGCCACGCCTCTTCACCATGGACCTCAATGTCATGGAGCACAAGGTCTTCTACACAGAGGTGAGATGTCAAGGAATAGTTTATCACAAAGTAAAAGGAATAGTTTTAGGAATAGTTTATCACAAAGTAAAACGTTTTTCATAGGTTTTGTTTTCATACCTTAAAAGTGGTCTAGTCCATAATTGTCACAAACTGGTGAATTTTTTTTGCCCTATAGAGTTCACAATGTATTGAGTTGACTCTGTATTTTGATCCTCCATTGATCCGTATTGATTCCATTCCTTGCTCTTTCTCCAGCTGTTGAACCTGTGTGAGGCTGAGGACGCTGCTCTGATGAAACTGCCCTGCTATAAGAGCCTGCCCTCTCTGGTGCCCCTGCGCATCGCTGCCCTCAGTGAGTACATGATAGGAGTCGTAGTCCTTACTTCACTGAAGGACTACAAATAATTCAGCCATTCAACATGTAGAACAAACACGTACATCACAATCAACTTTGTTCTTCATCTACTATTCTACAACAACATCTCAAAACAAATGTGTTAATCCAACATTTTGTCTTTTATCAATCAGAAATAAATCAGTAAATTGACCATTGTTGTTCCCTGTCTGTCTGCATAGATGCCCTGGCAGCGTGTAACTACCTGCCCCAGTCCAGAGAGAAGATCATTGCTGCCCTGTTCAAAGCCCTCAACTCCACCAACTCTGAACTGCAGGAGGCAGGAGAGGCCTGTATGAGGAAGGTTAGTAAATTACACACCTCCCAGGTAGCCTAGCGGTTAAGAGTGTTGGGCCAGTAACTGAAAGGTCGCTGGTTCAAATCCCTAAGCCGGCAAGGTGGGGAAAACTGCCGTTCTGCCCTTGAGCAAGGCACTTAACCCCAACAACTGCTCCCGGGCCGACGTCGATTAAGGCAGCCCCCCGTACCTCTCTGATTCAGAGGAGTTGTGTTAAATGCAGAGGACACATTTGGGTTGAATGCATTCAGTTGTACAACTGACTAGGTATCGCCCTTTCCTTTCCCTTCTCTTCTTTCTCCCTTTCTTCTCTTGTCTTTTATCCTCTCACCTCATTTATTCATCCCTTTCCTATTTCTCTTCTTTGATCCCCTCATTGCACACCTTTTCTCTTTCCCTCCATCTCATCAATGATCTTGTACGTCTTCTACATTTGCCTCTTCCTCAATGCAACACTGACATCCAGCCTTCCTACCCTCAATCTACCTATCAACACCTTCATCCATCCATCCATCCATAATTTCTCCCTCCATTCTCTTCTCTCCTGCTCTCATTCTCGTCTCCTCTCATCCTGTCTTCCCTGGCCTAACACTAACGAGTGTTGCCAGGGAGCGGTCGATACAGGATGGAGTGTTTGTTCTGAGCAAAGAGAGGAGAATTAATGTGGCTGCCATGCATCATCCCTGTGCGTGTGTGTGACTGGCCCTGGCCTTATTGTTGTGGCCTTTCTCTCATGCACTGGATCATCCAGAGCTGTTTTACAGGGCTCTTGGGTTGAGAGATAATATACGTCGGTGAAAATAAACCATGATTCGTGCTGAAAATGTCTTGAATTGAAAAATTATTATGCTTAAAGAAATGTTTTATCTTTGTTCTGTCTCCCAGTTCCTGGAAGGGGCCACCATCGAGGTGGACCAGATCCATACTCACATGCGCCCTCTATTGATGATGCTGGGGGACTACCGCAGTCTGACCCTCAACGTGGTCAACCGCCTCACCTCGGTCACACGCCTCTTCCCCAACTCCTTCAACGACAAGTTCTGTGACCAGATGATGGTAAAGAAGGAAGGCTGCTGAGTTTGGGCTAAACATTTTTTTGAAGTCGCTATTAACTCGTCATGGTAGTAGTCACTGTTTGAATAAATGAATTACTATATATCTGATTAATCTCTTTCTCTCTCTCAGCAACACCTGAGGAAGTGGATGGAGGTGGTGGTGATAACCCACAAGGGAGGCCAGCGCAGCGATGGCAGTGTGAGTATGAACACATAGGAAGAGGCCTTAACACACACCCTGACAGCTCCTCAGTGAGGCCTGCTGTAGATGAGAAGTGAGTGGCCATATTACAATCAATGATTAATTAGGCGCCAACCAGAGAGCAGAGCCAGCAGCTCAGCCAGCATCTCTCCGCTCGTTATCTCTGACAGATAACCTTGTAAAGGGGAAGAAGAGGTGACGCGGGGGGGAGAGATGCACCGTCCACCGTCAGCCCCCTCACCCTCTGCAGAAATAGCATCCATTATTTCCTGCTTTTCTTTTCTCTTCCTCTCTCTGCGTTACCACTGGTAATGAGATGTAAATTGGCCCTCTGTTCGCCTGCCACTGCTCTTCTCTTTGAAGGCTGCCACTGACAATGAGGCCGGGCCACCAGGTCAACCACACAGGAGAACAGGGAGAGAGGCGACAGGGATGAGGAGGGAGAGGACGTAGGGAGGGATGAGGGGAAAGAGGGATGACGAGGAGAGTGAGGGGGATGAGGAGGGACAGAGAGGTAGATACTGGATGGAGGGATAAGGAAGGAAGCACAATTATACCAGTTTGTTTAACCAATTTTCCTGTTTTTTTCCCCCCATGTTTATTCTGAAAATGTTTGAGATCTCTCAGATCTTTGCCACAGTCTGAATATTTGCTCACAGTCAGTCATTCCACTCCATGCCATCCTTCATGCACCCCCCCCCCCCCCCACACACACACACACACACACTGCTTTGCTGACTCTTTCCATTCTCTCCCATTCCGTTCCGGCACAGCCTGCATTGGAGGGCGTTGAGGTGAGACTGGGTCCAATGTTGCCCCACCCCCCTATAGTTGAACTGTTGTGGTGATGGTAGTGCTGGTGGATTGTATTGTCTGTGTTGTGTTTGGTTGCTGAACCTTAACCTAACCTTACCTGGTGCTATACCCTATCAAAATGTTCTGTGACATTTTAAACCAACTCAGTTTATCCCCCCATTTCATTTTAACATCCTATAAAAGTCACTAATAGTAAAGTCATAGAAATCAATCATCATAGAAGTCATCAAGTTGTAGATGGTACTCTCAAACCCTCTTGTCTATATTCCAAAACAACCAATCACCACTCCGCTACTAGTGACATCACTTCCTCATCCCCTGAGCTGTTTTACCTTAGAAACGCCCTGTCGCGCAGTTCCAAATCGACCCCTAGCCCCTACTCCCTAGGTACTCGTGGAGATCTAGCCAAAAATATCTCAAAAAGTGTCTAGGGATTAGGCCGGACTAAGGGGTCCATTTGGTATTGGGCTAGTGTATCTCAACAGTTACTGCAAAATCAAGATGTCTGTCCAAGACGTGGGTAAAGATTTCTTAATACTAACTCTATTTTATTTTCTCACCTCCACCTTCCCTCTTGTCCTCTCCCTCCCCCTCTCTAGGAGATGAAGATATGTTCGGCTATTATCAACCTGTTCCACCTGATCCCAGCAGCTCCTCAGACTTTGGTCAAACCTCTGCTGGAGGTGGTCATGAAGACAGAGCGTGCCATGCTCATAGAGGTACTAGGCACCTCAATTATCTCCATCCCTCCACTCCCCTCTGTCTTTTTCTCTCCCTCCTCTAATCTCCTCATCCCACCTCTCCATCTACCTCTGAATTATAGTTCCCCTACACTTCCTTTTCAGTTTCTCCGTCTATTTTTTTTAGATTGTCAACCCATCAGTGTGTGTCATGGACATGGTTAACTGATTGCCCCCCCCTCTTCCAGGCTGGCAGTCCATTCAGGGAGCCCCTGATCAAGTTCCTGACGCGTCACCCGTCCCAGACCGTAGAGCTGTTCATGATGGAGGCCACACTCAATGACCCACAATGGAGCCGCATGTTCATGGTGAGACAAATGCCCTCCTGCCAAGAGCCTCGGGCACATTACGTCTCACTACCGAGTTTTAACTGTGTCAAGAGGAATCCCTGTGTGTTGCCAAATACAAGTGCAGTTTTGGCTGCTAAAATTTTGCTCTGGTTGTTCTCATTCAGCTGGTTTGCTCTATGGATCTCTAAGAAATTCATTCCATATTTCCCATTCTCTTAATCCCCTTTCCACTATTGTGCTCCAGAGTTTCCTGAAGCATAAAGAAGCCAAGCCCCTGAGGGACGTGCTGGCCTCCAACCCGAGCCGCTTCGCCCCCCTGCTGGTCCCTGCTGGTACCGCAGCCACCGCTAGACCTGGGTCCCCCTCCACGAACACAGCCAGGCTTGACTTGCAGTTCCAGGCCATCAAGGTGAGGGAGGACGCTCACGGATGCACAGCTATGGACACACGCGTGCACTCCATTACACACACACACACACACACACACACACACACACACTGAAGCACACACACACACACTACACACGCACCCTCCCTTACATTTACATTTACCCCATGACACTTAATGCAAATCTACCGCTGACAGGCTAGTTTCCGCCATATTGCTTACACCTATCAAAGATTTTCCAACAGTTTGTTATACCTTCTCACACCTTCGAGTCTACCACTTTCTCTCCTCTTCTCAGATCATCAGTATCATAGTGAAGAACGAGGAGGGCTGGTTGGCGGGGCAGCACTCTCTTGTCAGCCAGCTCAGACGGGTCTGGGTCAGCGAGGCCTTCCAGGAACGACACCGCAAAGACAACATGGCCGCCATCAACTGGAAGGAGCCCAAGCTGCTGGCCTACTGCCTGCTCAGCTACTGCAAGTATGTACCACACACACACACCATGATAGTGTTGGCTTACTGCCTGCTCAGCTGCTGCAAATATGCATCAGTTGCACTACCACTTGTCAATACTTCTTAGCTCAAGAGGCTTGAGAGAGATGCATCCTTGACTGTGCAACCTTGATCTTTCATGTAAATCTTCAAAGACATTGATGTATGACTTATACAAAAGTCTGAAAGGATTTGTACTGAGCACTCACCCTCTCTCCTTGTCCCTCCTCCCCTCCAGACGTAACTTCAATGAGATTGAGCTGCTGTTCCAGCTGCTGAGGGCGTTTACGGGTCGTTTCCTGTGCAACATGACCTTCCTAAAGGACTATATGGAGGAGGAGATCCCTAAGAACTACAGCATCGCTCACAAACGAGCCCTCTTCTTCCGCTTCGTAGAGTTCAACGACCCACACTTCAACGACGAGCTCAAAGCCAAGGTAACCAACCCATCTCTCTCTCTCTCTCTATCACTCACTCACTCACTCACACACACACACACACACACACACACACACACACACAGACAGATATGGATGTATGGGAACACAGCATCCCCTGAAATGTATTCACACACACAAAGATATGTCGAAAGACCGTTATATTAAAAACACAAAATCGGTAAATAAATGGCAATATTCTTCACAAACTCGTAAGTGAGTGTTCCCTGCTGAACTGCAGCATTTTGATTTCAACGGTGCAGCGCCAGTTTACCCCCTGATGAATTCTGCTGCTCATATAGTCATCCTCTTAATTGTTCTCCTCTTGCGAAGAGCAGATGCTGTCCGTGTGTGTGTGTGTGTGTGTTAGTGCTTGATTGTGTGTTCTTGTACGAGTTAGAGATGGGACGATAACCCGAAGAATTATCAACACTGACCATACCGATGACTTATCGCAGGCATTTTGCTGATATCGTTCATTACAACAAGTAGCCTATACTAGAGAAATGTGTTTGAAATGAAACAAGTTTGCTAATATGGATGATTGTTAATGGTACAATTGCTATCTAGTAGGAGTAGTTGAAAGGATAATAAAAAAAACTGATGCACATTGTTAAAATTATCTCCCGAGTGGCGCAGTGGTCTAAGGCACTGCATCGCAGTGCAAGCTGTGCCACTAGAGATCCTGGTTCGAATCCAGGCTCTGTCGTAGCCGGCCGCGACCGGGAGACCCATGGGGCGGCGCGCAATTGGCCCAGCGTCGTCCAGGGTAGGGGAGGGAATGGCCGGCAGGGATGTAGCTCAGTTGATAGAGCATGGCGTTTGCAATGCCAGGGTTGTGGGTTTGATTCCCACAGGGGGTATGAAAAAAAAATAATGTATGCACTAACTGTAAGTCGCTCTGGATAAGAGCGTCTGCTAAATGACTAAAATGTAAATGTAAATGTTAAAATGTATCGTTCTATTTGTCGTTATTGAATTTATCGCTCTACTGTGTGTGTGTGTGTGCCTGTGTGCATTACCTCCACTGACATTTTAAATATTAGTCTTAAGCATTTGGCACCCTATTCCCTTTATAGCACAATACTTTTAAACAGGGCCCATAGGGCTCTGGTCAAAAGTAGTGCACTTTATAGGGAATAGGGTGCTATTTGGGGTACAGAAACAGAGGCCTATTCACATATGGTGAAATAATAGGCCCAATGTTACTAACAAAGGGGTGTTCTTTGTAGTAGCCCTCCTCCCAAGAGATGTTTTCCCCTAGCCTAACATCTGGGCGATTTTAACATAATGCATATTTCTCTCTCGCCCGCTCTCTCTGGTTCAGCCACAGGCACTTCCTCTGCTGTAATAGATAATGCTAATGCCTCCGCTAGACACACACACACACACGCTGTAGAAGGAGGACACTAATCATCTAATGGCACTAAAGTAATGTTGGGCGACGTCTGTATGATTGATATCACAGAAACTCTAAATTAATGGGAACATATGAGACCAAATAAGAGCGCGTCGCGCTATGCATTTCCTCTCCCTCTTATCTGTGCCTGTTCGTGTGTGTGTGTTAATGGCAGTGTTAGAGCATATGCTGCCACATGATGCTTCTATTAAAATATGTCCTGCCTAGAGGATGATGTATAGTGTGGAGACTAGTTCATTAGGGGAGAGTACCTATAAATGCACTCATTAGCTCCGTTATTCTGCTACTGACTGCTTAATCATTCCTTTGTCTTGAATGTCTACCATTGATATATGCTCTTTTTTATTGATTTATTTTGTATATGCTCATGTTACTGTGAGGAGTTTACATTAGTAAGTTGAGAGAGATTTGACTAAGTCGCTGTGGATCAGTGTCTGCTAAATGACCTAAATGTAAACAACGTGGAATTTTATTTTACTGACATTCCTGCCCTTTTATCTCGTCTTTAGACCTTTTAAAAAAGACTACACCCATTAGTGAAGTTAGAGAAGAGAAGTTATCTTCTCTATCAGGTGTGTATCTGTTATTACAACCTGTCTCTTCCTGTCCCAGGTGTTGCAGCACATCCTGAACCCAGCGTTCCTGTACAGCTTTGAGAAGGGGGAGGGGGAGCAGCTTCTGGGACCGCCCAATCCTGAGGGAGACAACTCGGAGAGCATCACCAGTGTCTTCATCACCAAGGTTAAAAAACAAACAAACCAACGCCTCGCCCTCAAGACTCTTCATGGATGGCCTATCCTTTCTCTACACCCCTGTCCTTCTCTCCTCTTTTCATCCCTTTCTCCCTCTTAATTTGTTACATCCATCTCTACCTCTTTTTCCTTTTATTCTGATCCTCTTCTCCCTCTCTCCTCTCATCCCTCTCTTCCCTTGCCCATCTTGCCCCCTCTTCCTGCTCTCATCCTATTGTCCTCTCTCCTCTCTTCCCTTGCCCATCTTGCCCCCTCTTCCTGCTCTCATCCTATTGTCCTCTCTCATCACTCTGTCCATCCATCAGAGCAGTGTGTAATGTCCTGGCCTGCCTGGCAGTACTGTCACCGTGGCAACAGTAAAGGTCACTGTTTTGTTTGTCTTGAACACGATCTAATCATCGTCTCTGACTCACTATCTGACTAACACCAGACCTAGTATGGATCTGATCATCTGGTTGGGTTTTAAACTCATTTCCTCTCGCCTCCTTTCTACATGACAAATTATGCATTTTAAGTCTTTGGAAAATGCCACTGCCAAAAACAACTATTCCCCCACCCTCCCCAAATCGAATTATATTGTATTTATTTATTGAATTATATAAATTGCTTTGTTTAAAAAGACCTATAGAATGTACATCAAATATGATGACGAGGTATTGATGCTCTTCTCCTTGCCCTTCTCTCTGTGGAAAGAAATGTATTGAAGAACAAGTAATATAATACATCCATCTCTCCCCTATAGGTCCTGGATCCAGAAAAGCAGGCAGACTTACTAGATTCCCTCCGTATCTACCTGCTCCAGTTCTCTACTCTCCTGGTGGAGCACGCCCCCCACCACATCCACGACAACAACAAGTCCCGGAACAGCAAGCTGCGGCGCCTCATGACCTTCGCCTGGCCGTGCCTGCTGCCCAAGGCCTGTGTTGACCCTGCCTGCAAGTACAGCGGCCACCTGCTCCTGGCACACATCATCGCCAAGTTCGCCATCCACAAGAAGATCGTACTGCAGGTTACTTTCCTTTTTTTAAATATAGTCTGCATTTTCTGTGAAATAGCTTGAAATTATTATATTGTGGCAGGCTGTTGCCATTGATCAACTCTTTTGTCTTGTCCACATTGATGTGGAGGGCACTTGACCAGCATCATTCTTGGAGGTTGCTGGTCTGTTTTTAGGCTACATAATTCAATTTAGAAAGGATATCCGCTCACAGATTTATGCCCCCAAAAGTAACGTTTTACGTTTGGCATGGATCATATTTCTTCCACTTGTGCGTGTATCTAGGTGTTCCACAGCCTGCTGAAGGCCCACACCATGGAGGCCAGGGCTATAGTCCGCCAGGCTATGGCCATCCTGACCCCGGCCGTGCCAGCCCGCATGGAGGACGGACACCAGATGCTGACCCACTGGACACGCAAGATCATCGTGGAGGAGGGACACACCGTCCCTCAACTGGTCCATATACTGCACCTTATCGTCCAGCACTTCAGAGTGAGTGACACACACACGCACACACACATATACACACACATACATGGATGCAGGAAGACACACGCAGTTAGACACACGCACACACATTCTAGCACGCAGGGTGGATTTGTCTGTATAATTATACTTTATAAAACCTACTAATTCTATGGGTCTTGTACTTCCTATACCCTTCATCATTATGATCCCAGCCAGTAGATAGCTGTTTAGAACTAAACTGACGCCTGGTGAAGTTCATTTTAGATTGCTCCGTGACACACTGCTCTCTGACCGAGACCACTCATCTCATCATCATTACCCTGGAGAGATGAGTCTGTCATGATGGACGTGTGTGTGTGTGTAGAGAGTTAAGTGTGTATGTCTCCATCTCTGACAATGTAGATGGCACTCATCTCACACTCTCTTTGCAGTGTGTGTGTGTGTGTGTTTCCATGTAGACAGGGCTTAGCTGTGCTTTCTGTCTGGGGTTGAGAAGTCCCTGTCAGCCATCAGAGATAATCACTCCATCTGAACCGCTCTAATCATCTCTGACAATGTTGACAGCACTCCAATAGGATAGCAGTGTCATAGAAGCACTCTTTTCAGAGTATTTGTGTATGTTTGTCTCTGTGCGCTTGACCCTTTGGGGTTTGATTGTGTGAGTGGGCATTCTAGCTAAGTATAGGACTAATAAGTGTGTGGGCCTTAAATCAGTGGTGTCTAGAGCATACCTGTGTAGCCTAGATGAACACACACAAGGTATTTCCCCTGTCCCGCCGTTTTCTCCCACGTGGTGTCTAACCACGCACCCCCTTCCTCCTTGTCCCCAGGTGTACTACCCGGTGCGTCACCACCTGGTGCAGCACATGATCAGTGCCATGCAGCGTCTGGGCTTCACCCCCAGTGTGACTATTGAACAGAGGAAGCTGGCTGTGGACCTGGCCGAGGTCGTCATCAAGTGGGAACTACAGAGGATCAAAGACGCACTGGTACACACGCGCACACACATTTTATGACATTAATAATTATTTGTTTGAGGAAAGAACACGTTAATTGTTTCTCATATGGTACTCTTCATTTTACAACTGTAGAAAGTTGATTTTGGTGGTATTTGATTCCTTTTTCTTAGCCGGAGGTGGAGGGGGCCGACCCAGGTGGGAGTGGTGAGGGGACCAGTGCAGGGGGTACCGGGGGGGTAAAAAGAGGCCTCTCCATGGACTCTGCTGCCGGACAGGACGTGAAGAGGTTCCGTACTGCCACCGGAGCTGTCGCCGCGGTAACACCGCCCAGCACAAGTGTACGTATCAGGAGGGAATATATTATTTTCTCTGGTCACTTGGTCAGGAAAACCGAATGGGTCTATGTAACAGCTCCACCGTGCCTTCTGATTGGCTAGGTTAAATTTGCGTGTGTTTGTTTGGGCTCACCCTGTCCCCTGTGTGTGTGTAGGTGTTTGGCCGCAGTACATCCATGCCGGTAACAGAGACCCTCCTCACCAAGCCAGTGGAGAAACAACACACAGACACCGTGGTCAACTTCCTCATCCGCATCGCATGCCAGGTAAAACACTCCTTTCTCATGATCACAGGTACCCCCCCCCCCGGTCACTGCATCACAGTCAGCATGCCTTGGTAGCAGCAGCAGATGTTCAGCCCTGGACTTTCATTGAGGGACATGTCCTTGGTTCTGGATCTGTGGGCTTTACCTGAAATAGAACCGGGAAAGAATGTCACCTTCTCCTCTGGGCACCATTGTACATCCTTGCCATGTGAATGTGCTTCGTTTTACTTAGGTTACTTGCATTACAACTGTCTGACACTGAAACAGCTGCTGCTTTTACTCCGTTTTGTTTCACAAGACCTGTGGACCCTTAATTAACCTTTGTCTATTTTCAATGGAAGATGATAATGATGATTGTTTTTCTTGGGGAACATAACAATGTCGCTCAAACAGAAGGGGAACTAACAAAATCACTGACAACAAACAAAGTGGGGTTTTAGGAGGGGTTCTGAAAGACACTGAAAGTTGATTAGCAACAACAACTGGGACCTAAAAGACACCCACAGTGAGCGCCTACTAAATTTCCCCACTACGAGGCAAACAAAAGAAAAAGCTACACTAAACTTAAAGACAGGAAGCATTGTCTTTCTAGAAATCAAATAGGGACAGCCAACCAAAGGTGTTGACCCTCCACATCTCTCAAGGCAACTGGAGGGCTGGGCCAGCCGCTCTTAATTAGCACCTTCCCATTAACAAGATGGCAACCAGCACAGGTGCAACACATACTGACTAACAAGGTGACACCAAACGGTGCGCCCTACATGCTAACGTGCTAAAGTCTAACCTCTAAACATAAATGGAAAAACCTGTAACATGATGATGATTATGATGTCTCCTCCCTCCCTCCAGGTCAATGACAGTGCCAATGTGGCGGGGTCTCCAGGTGAGCTCCTGTCCCGTCGCTGTGTCAGCCTGATGAAGACTGCCCTCCGCCCTGACATGTGGCCCAGAGCTGAGCTCAAACTACAGTGGTTTGACAAACTCCTCATGACTGTGGTAAGGCTTCACAGAAATCTCAGCTTCTAGCATTCTAGTTGTTTATTTTGTGTTCACATTGAGGTTTTGCTTCTCTTCTGGGCAAAATTGCTTTATCATGCCTCTAGAAATGATTTGTAAATCTCACATCAACTTACAACATACAACCATCAACTCAAATCCACCATGTATAGCTGTGTTTTCAATGAGTGAGTAACTGAAGTATGTTCTTGCAGAGTTTCCTCCTGGGATTTGGCCTTCAGTCAGTTGTTTTCCTCAGCTCCTAAGTTTCAGTCTGTCTTCCTATTTTAATTCCTTTGTCCCTTATCAGTTCCCTGTCATTATTTAGTCATTATTTGAAGCCGCAGCCTCACTCAGTGTAGGAGAGATAACTAAAGTAAATCCACCCGGACTGCCTTGACTGTCCTCCCCTCCTCCACCCTATTCATAAGCTTCCTAGGACAAGGTTATCTGAGTGCAACCCCAAATGTCTGACAATGATTGTTTTTCTCTCTGTGGATCACTGCAGCCCCCCCTCAAACCGAGCCCCAACCTTACCTGGGGGGGCTGAACAGTACATGCCCAGCAGTCTTATCCAGACCAACGCTTTAAATCAGATTACCTTTTATCTCATTGTACTGCCATGTCAGTCATTAAAGTTACAGCGGGAGAGGGCATAACACACACACACACACACACCTGTCTGAAACACACCAGAGACTAGGCGTTATTCTGTTCCTACATCACTGAATCAAAACCTTTTAACTTAGACCAGAGCCTTATCAACCGAGCCACCTTGTTCATTATTACACATTAGACCAAATGGTCCGCTCCAAATCCTCTATCTATCTCCATCTTCTCTCCTCCCTCTCGCTCTACTAAATAGAGAGTGAAATTGACAGCACTCCAAAAGGATAATCTTAGATAATTGATGTATTACCCTGCACTCACATTATTTTTCTCTCCACCTCTCTAACCCCCCCCCCCCCCCCCCCCCCCTCCAGGAGCAGCCGGCCCAGGCTAACTTCTCTAACATCTGTACTGGTCTGGAGATCCTGTGCTTCTTGCTGACGGTGCTCCAGTCCCCAGCCATCCTAACCCACTTCAAGCCCCTCCAGAGGGGCATCGCTGCCTGCATGACCTGCGGCAACACCAAGGTCCTGCGGGCCGTCCACTCTTTGCTCTCCAGACTCATGAGCGTCTTCCCCACCGAGCCCAGTGAGTCCCAGCTGTATTAGTAGATCCCAGACTGGTGTCTGCTGTGACATACTTTTAGGAGTTCTCCTGTGACCCGTTGACTCAGAAAGAATCAGCTGCTGACACGCTATTTGGGGAACTGCCTTTTGAGTCGATAAGCCAAACTTCATTCTACTATGATCAAATGTGTTACCTTTTCCTCTCCCAGGCACGTCAACTGTAGCGTCTAAGTATGAGGAGTTGGAGTGTCTGTATGCAGCAGTGGGGAAAGTCATCTACGAGGGCCTCACCAACTATGAGAAGGCCACCAGCAGTGCTAACCCAACACAGCTGTTTGGTAAGACACCTACCAGTACCAATGCGCACTCTCTGTTACTTTCTCTGTCGGCCTCTTTCTCCCTTGCAATCAATCATTCCTGCTCGTTCGCTCTCTCTCAGGCGCGCCTGCACACACTATCTCTCTATCCAGCAATTAGAGGTGTAGGTGTGTTTTAAATCTAAGGCAATGGTCTGTGCAGGGTGGGTTAACAGCTCGTCTGGTTAAATGAACGGTGCAGCACAGGTCAGTCAGTCTGTAGGGGTAAAGACCGATTTTTCTCTTTCACTACTTCTAATATCAGTTTTATACCAGATGTCAGAAGTTTTTCTGAAAAGCTTATTTTTAATGCATGAGAATAAAGTCTCAATTTACACGGAGGTGGCATTATTTATTTAAGTAAGTGGCACAAAGTGACAAATGGCTATTGGAGAACACTCTAAAGGTAACGCTATTTGATACCTTTTCCCGAAATGGCAACAGTGGTCAATAACTGCCTTCATACCCTGTCCTCTCCTTGAGGGGTTGTGTTACACACACACACACACACCGCTGGTATGATGCATGCCTCGCCGACGGTGACATTTTAACATTCGTCTCCCCTCCACAGGAGACCGATGATTTTTCTCCACTCTGTAAATTGGTTAGATTTCCTCCAAAAACGACCTTGTAGTGTGTGTGTGGGAGATGGTGACATTGTCTCAAATGTATTTTTCTCTCTCTCTTTTTTTTTTTCTTTCTCTCTCCTCTCTCTCCCAGGTACGTTGATGATTCTGAAGTCTGCCTGTAGTTACAACTCCAGCTACATCGACAGGCTCATCTCTGTGTTCATGCGCTCGCTGCAGAAGATGGTCCGAGAACACCTCAGTCCCCAGCAGGCCACCCCCGGGCCCACCGAGGCCAGCACAGGTTGGGAATACACAAACAAACAGACTCACACGCATTCAGAGACACACACACACACACGCACATACAGGTTTCCAGACTCACTTTTTCCCCTGGTGGAACTGGTGCTACTTAGTTTTTCAGTTGGTGGCACCAGCCCATCATTTGGTCACACCTACATTTTGCCGTAATCCTCTTATAAAGTTATTCACGGTGCAAAAAAATATGTTCCATCTAACATGTCCAACCTAAAGCAGTGATTGTCATGGATTTGTTGGTTGACAATTAGGCTATTGTTGCTATACACTGAGTGTACAAAACATTAGGAACACCTGCTCTTTCCATGAGACTGACCAGGTGAAAGCTATGATCCCTTATTGATGTCACTTGTTAAATCCACTTCAATCAGTGTAGATGAAGTAGAGGAGATGGGTTCAATAAGGATTTTTAAGCCTAGAGAAATTTGAGACATGGATTCTGTGTGTGCTATTCAGAGGTTGAATGGGCAAGACAAAATATTTAAGTGCCTTCGAACGGGGTATGGTACTAGGAGCCAGGCACACCGGTTTGAGTGTGTCAAGAACTGCAATGCTGCTGGGTTTTTCACGAATTGAGGCTGTTCTGAGGGCAAAAAGGAGTGCGCATCTCAATATTAGGAAGGTGTTCCTAATGTTCTGTACACTGAGTTTATTTTACAGTCAAAATAGGGCTGAATTTTTTTTCTTCTCAATAGATTCATTTGCCTACATATTTTTTGTCCACTAATATCACATGCTGTAGGCCAGGGTTCTCCAACTGGCAGCCCGCGGGTGATTTTATTTATATTTGGACATAAAATACTAAAAACACCAGCAAATCAGCTCCAAGTGGTTTTAATTTAGGAAATTCCCACGCATAATAGAGACACAGTGCCTTCAGAAAGTATTCACACCCCTTGACTTTTTCCACATTTTTTTGTTACACAGTGGGATTTAATTGGGCCTCCCGAGTGGCGCAGCGGTCACTACAGATCCGGGTTCAATCCCGGGCTGTGTCGCAACCGGGAGACCCATGAGGTGGCGCACAATTGGCACAGCGTCGTCTGGGTTAGGGGAGGGTTTGGCCGGCTGGGATGTCCTTGTCCCATCGCACTCTAGCGACTCCTTGTGCCGGGCGCATGCACGCTGACTTCGGTTGTCAGCTGTATGGTGTTTCCTCCGACACATTGGTGCGGCTGGCTTCCGGGTTAAGCGAGCAGTGTGTCAAGAAGCAGTGCGGCTTGGCGGGGTCGTGTTTCGGGGGACGCATGGCTCTCGACCTTTGCCTCTACCGAGTCCATACGGGAGTTGCAGTGATGGGACAAGACCGTAACTACCCATTGGATATATCAAAATTGGGGAGAAAAAGGGGTGACAAGTACCCCCCCAAAAATTTTATTTAATTGTCATTGTCTGTCAACGATCTATACAAAGTACCCTGTAATGTCAAAGTGGAAGAAAAATTCTAACATTTTGAAAATAAAAATATGGGTAAAAAACACTAATATATCCTTGATTAGATAAGTATTCAAACCACTGAGTCAATACATGTTAGAATCACCTTTGGCAGCGATTACAGCTGTGGGTCTTTCTGGGTAAGCCTCCAAGAGCTTTGCACACCTGGATTGTACAATATTTGCACATTATTCTTTTTAAAACTCTTCAAGCTCTGTCAAGTTGGTTGTTGATCATTGCTAGACAGCCATTTTCAAGTCTTGCCATAGATTTTCAAGCCGATTTACGTCAAAACTGTAACTAGGCCACTCCGGAACATTCAATGTCGTCTTGTTAAGCAGACTGAACTAGGTTTTCCTTTAGGATTTTGCCTGTGCTTAGCTCTATTCTGTGTCTTTTTTTTATCATGAACTCCCTAGTCCTTGCCGATGACAAGCATACCCTTAGCATGATGGAGCCAACACCATGCTTGAAAATATGAAGTGGTACTCAGTGATGTGTTGTTGGATTTGCCCCAAACATAATGCTTTGTATTCAGGACATAAAGTTAATTTCATTGCCACTTTTTCTGGCAGTTTTACTTTAGTGCCTTGTTGCAAACAGGATGCATGTTTTGGAATATTTGTATTCTGTACAGGCTTCCTCTTTTTCACTCTTGTCAATTAGGTTAGCATTGTGGAGTAACTACAATGTTGTTGATCCATCCTCAGTTCTCCTTTCACAGCCATTCAACTCTGTAACTGTTTTTTAAAGTCATCATTGGCCTCATGGTAAAATCCCTGAGCGGTTTCCTTCCTCTCTGGAAACTGAGTTAGGAAGGACGCCTGTATCTTTGTAGTGACTGGGTGTATTGATACCATCCATAACATTACCATGCTCAAAATGATATTCAATGTCTGCTTTTTTATTTTTACCCATCTACTAATAGATTCCCTTTGCGAGACATTGGAAAACCTCCCTGGTCTTTGTGGTTGAATCTGTTTGAAATTCACTGCTCAACTGAGGGTACAGAGATGAGGTAGTCATTCAAAAATCATGTTAAACATTATTGCACATAGTGAGTCCATGCAACTTATTATGTGACTTGTTAAGCATATTTTTACTCCTGAACTTATTTAGGCTTGCCATAACAAAGGGGTTGAACACTTATTGACTCAAGACATCTCAGCTTTTCATTTTTAATTAATTTGTAGAAATTTCAAAAAACATAATTCCACTTTGAAATTATGGGGTATTGTGTGTAGGCCATTGACAAAAAAATCTACTTTTAATCCATTTTAAATTAACTCGAACCAGGGTTTGGAACCAACAATTATTTTCAAATCATTTTGTTCTGAACAGAAACATATTTTTTTCTCGTTCCGTTCCACTGTTCTGAACCAAAAAAATACAAAAAGTAACTGTTTATCGTTCCTTTTTAAACTTCTGACATTTAAATTACTTCACAAATGGATAAAGTAGCTTGCTAAGGAGTGGGCAAGCTATGTACATGCATTGGACGGACAAGTCTAGTGTAGGGTGCGACATTTGACTGAAATTTAGCATGTGAGGAGAGCGCTGGGCATGAAGTGCTGGGCGTCTTGTTGTTATGACATGCATTATCTGAATTAGGCCAGATAATTATACCTACGGAGGAGCGGCTTCTAAGAAGGAACTTTGAATGTTTTTGAACTTTTTGGCTTAGTGTTGGACCAGAGCTAGCCCTTGATCATGACTCTCAGTTCCGTTAAATTACACACAATGCTGTCTAGAGTTTTTGAGAGCTAGACCAGAGCTAGCTAACAAGCTTGTGTGTACAGAGCGGCAGCAGATTTTAAATATAAACTTGTGTTCTGAATCACGCCAGTAAACTTGTCTTGCCTTTTTGTACTTAATAAATCCAATGTGAAACGTGATTACTATAGTATCCTTAACTAGCATTGAAAAAGTGAATCCATTCTTCTCTAATTAAAAATCGCTCTCCCTAATTTCTGAATCTCGCCTGTAACTTCAGTAGCTAGTGTAGACTATGCATGCTTCGGAAGGGCAGGTAGCCTACACACACACTGGCAAAGATTTTCAGCTGGCAGGCATGCAGACGATGGAATACGTTTCTGAGTGACCGTAAGGGCTTTGAATAGGCACTTTCTTGTGGGACATTTATTTTCTTTTTTTCTGAACGTAAAATAACATGAGCTGGTTCCCATGCTTTTAAAATAACTTATGTTCAGGAACAGTGTAGATAACTTTCGTTCTACTTCTGTTCCTCGGAAAAGTACATAATTTTTCGGTTCTTTTCCCTGAACCGGTTCCAACCCCTGGCTGTAACACAACAACATGTGGAAAAAGAAAGGGGTGTGTGAACTTTCTGAAGGCACTTTATATGTGATCTATACAAATGTAAGCAGGTTTGAAATGATGTTTTAGCCAAATATTATATCTGTTTTGACTTCTTGCGTTCAATTTTCAGTCCACAAATTATTTGCTATTACGTTTCGGTCCCCTGATCATCCTCTCCAGAAAAAGTTGTCCCGCGGCTGAATCTAGATGATGATCCCTGCTGTAGGCTAATTCATTTTGGACTAATTCACCTCTTAAGGAAGTGGAAATTCAAAACACATTAGCTAGATTACTAAATAAATATAATATGGCTGCTAGTTAGCTGTGTAATTGATTTAATATTAATTGTCTCAACAACAAAAAAACGTTGTCTACCCAATGACTTATATAGGCCTACGGGTATGCACTGACTCACCACGAAACACTGCGGTATGCACTCGCTCGCGCTCTCTATCTTGAAGCCGTAACCTACCAGAAACGTTTGTTTTAAACCGGTGCCAATCACTCAATATTGAGAAATAAATGTTATACCTACAGCAAGCTGTGATCCTCTATCCAACAGAAACAACAGTATGTGCTTTCAAACAATGTTTTCCCCGCTATTACAGTTTGAAATGTTGCGCAATCAGAACACATCTTTCTCTCCCTCTAGAGCGCACAGGAGGGAGAGGGAGTGAGAGTGGCTCGCTCATCACAGCAGCCGCCAGCGAAACAGGTACAGGGGCAGATCAGACCCGTTCATTGTAGGAATCAGGATAACGCATTTTACTGTTTGACCAAATCAGGATTTTGAAAAATAGGGAGTTTTGAATGAGATGACCAGCTAGAATTTGCAGCTTGCACCGATGCGACCATTTCAACATTTAACTGGCATAGCCAAGTTAAAGGGACTTTAAATGGGTCACACTCTGGAACCTTAACACACGCATACACACCTATTACCTTGGACCTCCCACATACTCAGGCCCACCAAACACAGTTCTCCCAGTAGATGTGTTACCTAGCCCCAGCAGCCCAGGTTGGATGGCATCAGGTTACTTCTAACACTGCCCGGCTCTCTGCTCCATTTCCTCCAGTCATCGGCCATTAGTGCTCTCCCAGTTCTATAATACAGTCTTCCTAAATTAGACTTTATCAAACGGGTGAAATTTCAGCTGGCTGACCTTAGCACCCCCTGCAACCAGTTGGAATTTCCCTAATCTGTGTGATACTGAGATGAGAGGGTGTAGCAGTCAAATCACAATGTGTGTGTTCCGGGCACCTCCAGAAACCCCTCAGGACCCAGATCTCAGATATCCCCGTATCTCGGGTCTGTTTGGCCTATACAGAAGCCCCTGTATCAGTGTGAATGGATCCCCTGGGCTGATAGAGGTCTCACTGGGAATGTACTACGGCTCTGATTCCCTTCCTGGGTTGTAGATGCAGTGAGATGCCTCTGGCTGAGACAAAGAGCCTTTTAGCTTGCACTGTTTCGCCAAAGGTTAGGTGGTCCTCCTGTTTAGTGTAGTACGTTTTCTGCAAGTTAAGTCTTGCGGCATTAGTGTGGCCAATGGGTGCTGCTGCAGTGAGACTGCATTTAGTGTTTACTGTTGGCCATAGCTAATGAGCCCAATCCAAGCACCTCTATCCCTGCTCTTCCAAAGCCTGGTAATGATATTGAGATGCTATCAGGCCTTTAAATGGCTCTCAAATGACCTGTATGTTCACTGTCAAGGAACACAAACACACTCCGTTACACTCACTGTGTAGTGAATGCAGTTAAGTGAATTTACATTGTATGTCTTGACCTAACCTTTCCCCACAGTGACTAGCGAACTAGTGATGCTGTCTCTGGACCTGGTGAAGACGCGTCTGTCCGTCATGACCTCTAACCTCTCCCTACAGTGACCAGTGAGTTGGTGATGCTGTCTCGGGACCTGGTGAAGACACGTCTGTCCCTCATGACCTCTAACCTCTAACTTCTCCCTACAGTGACTAGCGAACTAGTGATGCTATCTCTGGACCTGGTGAAGAGTCGTCTGTCCGTCATGTCCATTGAGATGAGGAAGAACTTCATCCAAGTCATCCTCACGTCGCTCATCGAGAAGTCTCCCGACGCCAAGATCCTCCGCGCCATCGTCAAGATCGTGGAGGAGTGGGTGAAGAACAACTCCCCCATGGCAGCAAACCAGGTGAGAGGACCATTTTCCATCACGTTTCCCTGTTGGCCATTTAGCAAACACTGTGGACATACGCTGCTAATGATCTGTGTAAGAACAACTAGCCAGCAAAGCAATCTGGGAACCAGGAAACACAAACCTACACAGGTGTCTTTGCTCTGAGTCCAGCAGAGGGACAGAATGAGGAGGGAGCGAGAACCAAAGGTTCTTCACACTCCCCCCTTCAGATGTACTAAAGATAAATGAACTGAATCAATCTGCTCTCTCTCCTCCTTCATGTCTCTCGCTCCCTCCATCCCTCTCTCCATCCACAGATGCCCAATCTTCGTGAGAAGTCCATTCTGCTGGTGAAGATGATGACCTATATTGAGAAGCGTTTCCCTGATGACCTTGAGTTAAACGCCCAGTTCCTGGACCTCGTTAATTACGTCTACAGGTAATTACCCCCATTAATCACCTGGACGAGTATGCAGGGCAAATATACTGAGCGCTGCTACGCTTCTTCATCCATCGAGGCGGAGGAGAAGAGGAGGGGATGGGCGTAGAGAGAAGGAAGGGGGGGGCAGGGAGAGAGGGGTGTATGCCAGGTCACCGCCACAAACCATTCATCCATTGAGCGGGAGATGGAGGGATGGGAGTGGGGTGGAGAGAGCAAGGGAGTATGCCACCAAACCACCACCACTCCATCTATTGAGAGGGAGGAAGAGAAAGAGAGGTGGGGATAGGTTAGACAGAATGATGGGGGTTGGGTTTGAGAGTCTTCCAGTGACAGGACACATGGTGTGAGGGAGAGATGGGAGGGTGGCTGAGGGGTGAGAAGGGAGTCAGAGAGGTGAGGCAGCCAAGCGAAAGGTGACGGACTCCTCAGCCCACTGCTATTCATCCTGGCTGGCCCTCTAACCACACACAAACACCACTCCCCCGTCCCTCTCCTCCAGTCCTCAGAACTTGCCCCATCCCTTTTCCCATTCTGCCTGTTCACAGACGATCGGCTCTGTAAGTCACATAACTTTGAACAAGCTGTAAAACTATGATTGACTCATCACCGTCCACATCACATAAAGATAACAGAAGGACATAGCATCTGCTCCACGACGATGTCTCTGAATAAGTAGCTGGTTTAGTAGCTTTAGTATAATACACTTACTGCTGAGACATTACTCCTCCTCTCTTTTAAATACTCTAGAGGCCCGTTCACCAGGGCTGTGGGATGTTAACCGTTTTACTATTCCGCTAGGATTATCATTAAAGATAAATGCTCCATTTTTAAACATTTAGTTAAAGTAACCGTCTGCATCCTCCACTGTTTCACTCCAATGACCTTCATTGCTTCTTGTCCTCCACTCATTACCATGATGCTTTTAGCTACTTTGGTATCTTAATTCTTATGAAGGAGCTTGCTCCGAAACGCATTAGCATGAGTTACTGTATAGGAGAATTAAGTTGCAGTCGTCAACCTTTTTTCATTAGATATAAAGAATGGTGACATAAATACATTTCAACCCTCTTTGTACAAACAGGGACGAGAGTCTCTCAGGAAGTGACATCACGTCGAAGTTGGAGCCGGCCTTCCTGTCTGGGCTACGTTGCGCCCAGCCTCTGATCAGGGCTAAGTTCTTTGAGGTGTTTGACCTCTCCATGAAGAGACGTGTCTACGAGAGGCTTCTCTACATCTGCTGCTCTCAGAACTGGGAGGCAATGAGCAGCCACTTCTGGATCAAACAATGCATAGAGGTAAGGAGACGTGCTAGGACGAGGGGTCGAATCATGACTATTTTGGATGTCAGTTGAGACATTTGAGATTTCGAGAGCTTGGGACTATAAGGTTATCTGCATTTTTTTCAAAATTGAGTTGACATAGCTTTGTTCTTTTCAATGTTCTCTACCTATGTTTTCAATGTACGGTACTCTAAATACCCCCAATTCATGTTAAGGTCAAAAGAATACAATAAAAAAAATTGCTCACACCATTTAAAGCAATGAGGTTTCGGAACTTTAAAGCCAATTATCTCAATCATCTTTTTGCAGATAGAACCTTGTAGTCCCAAACTCTCCATTTTTTTTGAAGTCCTTTGAAAAGAGGTTGCTGATTTGAGCTTTGAAATCGAACTATGTCCTGTTTTAGCACAAATAATTATTTGATACTGTGGTATGTGATTTAGCTTGTCCGTGATGCCTTTTTGTGAAGTGTCTACATAATGCTTCAGACCCCCTAGAAACTGTTAACCTGGCTTTCTGTGATCTCTTTTCTGTGTGACTCTCTGCCTCTGTGTTAGCTGCTGCTGGCAGTGTGTGAGCGTAACAGCATCATCGGGACCAGCTGCCAGGGCTCCATGCTCCCATCCATCACCAACGTCATCAATCTCGCCGACAGCCACGACCGCGCCGCCTTCGCCATGGCAACCCACATCAAGCAGGAGCCCCGAGAGAGGGAGAACAGCGAGACCAAGGAGGAGGTGAGGACGCCACGCATCAGGAGTCAGAGGGTCACACGGACACATACACACACACACTGAGACATGTTGACACACACACAAAGACCCATTATCCCATCATGTGTATTTGTTATAGGAGAGGAATAACATCTATTTCTCCCTATTTGTTAACCTGTAGTTTCTGCTGCAACAAACTGTTCCCCACAGATGCAGTATTTATATAACAGTCAATATTTTCAGTTTACCTTTCCTCTCCCATCTCATCATGATGTTCATCTCTCCAAGGGGAAAGACTAAGTGCTTTTGCATATATTACAATAAATGACTAAATGCATCTCCCTCTCTCCTCTTCTTCCCTTTCCTTTCCTCGATCTCCTCCACTCCTTCTACTCTCTCCCCCATCCTTTCCTCTCCCTCCCCCCTCTCTCTCCTCCAGGATGTGGAGATAGACATAGAGCTAGCCCCAGGGGACCAGACAGCCATCCCCAAGACCAAGGAGCAGGCAGAGAAAGACACAGGCAACCAGCTGCACATGCTCACCAACCGCCACGACAAGTTCCTCGATTCCCTTAGAGAGGTCAAGGTGAGTTATGACACCAACCCTCGCCCTTTTGGTTAAAATCTTATTATTTTCCTCTGCAACCCTCCCCGCCCTCACTGTCAAGTTCATCAACGCTTTTAGCACTTAAGACTTTGGCTTTGAGCACACATTCTACATTTGATAGATTTATATGGATGAAGCTTAAGGAAATATATTTGGAATGTCATAAATTGACCCTTGAACCTTAATCCTTCAGGTTGTTCCGCAGGAAAGTACCACAAAATATCCTGTGGAATTTCCTGCGTAACTTTTCTGTGGGATTTTTGCTGCAGGATTCCTGTAGGGATGTTTTGTAAAGGCGAGACGTTAACCCCTTATTGTCATTGTGTCAGATGCTGACCTGTGGTTGTTGTCATTGTGTGTGTCAGACGGGGGCGCTGCTGAACGCCCTGGTCCAGCTGTGTCACATCTCCACCCCGCTGGCTGAGAAGACCTGGGTACAGCTGTTCCCTCGCCTCTGGAAGATCCTGTCTGACCGGCAGCAACATGTAAGTACTGCCAGGTCAATGAGCAGTAACATGTCTTGTACTTCCAGGTCAAAAAGTTGGCACTAGATGGCCAGGCTACAATGTATGGTAAATGCAGTGTGCTCACAACTGTATTGGGGCCTGTTCAAAAGGGGGCAACATTCCAGAACGTTTAGGCTGAAGGAATCATGTCAGCTCCATAGAAATAGAATGAATATTGTAATAGTAATTATTTTCCAATGTCTATTCATGGTGTTTCTATCTGAAACGTTGAGATTAGCTATTTATACCTTCTATACAAGTTTACAGGTCAAAACCCTGGTTGTCATGCCGTGATAGAGGTCAAAGGCTATGGCATGACTCATTGTCTGTGTCATCATTATTCACCTGGACAGGGCCGACACGGGTCACAGGCTCTGCTCTGACCTGACTGGTCAGCACCACACTCACACACAGACCCTCTGAGACACACATACTGAGACCAACGCACACCTCAGCTCAGTGACGTTGGTTAGCAGACAGTCAGCCTGACCTTGACTCTCCCATTTCTACCTTAAAACATGCAATTTCCTCTTAATGAGGAACCATTCATTTATGCAAAATATGGAAGAAGAAAACACATACTGAGTTTAATGAACCAGATGGCTCCAGTATTAAGAGGCCCATTTAAGGGCTCCTGATTTGAAGTGATTGAGCTATTAACTTTCTGAGACACGCTGGAAATAGAACTAGACGTCTTTTAATGATGTTTGTCACTCAAAGACGGACGTGGATAAATACTTAAATAGGTTGCATATTTATGCTGATAATTATCTGGTTATAAATATCTTAATGTGGTTTTAGGGTACTGACTGCTGGAGGAAAAATCTATTCAAGGCATTTAAATAGAGTGATTATTTTTGCTGAGGCTGTCTCTTAGATGATTATGCTGTGGTAGCTAATATGGTGGCTTCCAATTAGTTCTAGCTTGGTTTCAGTTGTGCATCATATTGCATGCTTTTGGCCATAGAAACACTTTCTGTCTGTCCTCTTAACCTTAACTCTCCTTTCCTCTCTCTCCACTTTCTTCTCTCCCAAACCTCCCTCTCCTCCCGCGTCACCTCCCTCCCCCTCTCCTCCCAGGCCCTGTCAGGTGAGATGAGTCCTTTCCTGTGCAGTGGGAGCCACCAGGCTCAGAGGGACTGCCAGCCCAGTGCCCTCAACTGCTTTGTGGAGGCCATGTCCCAGTGTGTTCCCCCTATCCCCATCAGGCCCTGTGTGTTGAAGTACCTGGGGAAGACTCACAATCTGTGGCTGCGCTCCACTCTGATGCTGGAACAGCAGGCCTTTGAGAAGGGCCTCAGCCTGCACAGCAAGCCCAAGCAGAGCACCACCGAGTTCCACGAACAGGAGAGCATCACTCCACCACAACAGGTACGGGTTTACAGACGACATCTTGTTCACTTTCAGTTCTATTAGATGAGTACATAGTGGATAACAGTGAGCTTGTTAACTTTTCTTCAGACATTGCCTTTGTACTTACTGTACAGTCCATTCATTAAATAGGTATGGCTGCTTGACAGAAACTGCATCCTAACTAGGAATGTAACGATTCCAGTTCAACTGTTTAAGATGTGTGTGCATCGGTCCACAGGACTCCAAACCGATCCAAATGTAGCGTGAATCAGTCAGAAAATGTATTAAAACATTATGAACTGCCGGTTCACTAACCTTTCACCATTAAAATGCTTGTAAGATGACTTGTGCAATAGTCAATCATAGGCTTTATTAGTTGGGAGACAACCCAACGGTGCCCACTGTAAACTCTTGTTGCGCATACTAGAAAGCACAACTTTGGGGATATCGTTGATTTAAGGTTATAGGGAAACTGACACTATCAGGACTACTTAAAAAAAAAAAAAAAAATCAACAATCAAGTCTCCATTGAATGGGTAGAATGGGTTGATTTTAATCAAGTTACTACAATTTAGGCGATACATTTTGAATTTCAACAGTATCCCCCTTCAACATTCCAAACTGAACTTTACCTGCTGTGATCTTTGTGGCATAACAATGCAGCTGATTGACTGAAGATTATACCTACAGTAACATTATGCTTCTTTTGATTGATTGATTTTGTTTTCTTAACATTAAGGAGTGGATGATTTTCTTGTTGTTGCTATGTATAAAAGAAACTGCAACCAATTAAACAACCTAGGTGTATTCATTAGTCGCACACTGTAGCGAAACGCTTTGCACAGTTTAACATGTCAACCTTCCAAACTGACCTTTGTCTGCCCTGACCTTTGTTGCATAAGAATGCAGGTGATTATCTAAGAATGAAACCTGCAGTGACATTATGCTGGAAAGAACATTAGATTGATTCATGATGATATTTGCCCAATATTTAGTAGGGGAGGGGAAAAAATTGACTTGAAATATGCACATTTTCATAAAGAACAACATGTATTTCAATTATTTTAGCTTTATGGTATGAGAATCGGTTTAACTTGAAGGTTAGTGTTAGACGTAGCTCTGTCATTTTATAGCATGACCAGATAGTATAAACTGGCAACCATTCCCATAGACACTTCCTTCTATTTATGCTTGTGCTACATTTTAGATTCTATTTTTATTCCATCAAGCTTCTATTTTGATTACTTTATTACTTAGTTTTTTATACTCTTATTGTTGTCGCATATCGAGATGTGAACCTGCAAGTAAGCATTTCATTGTACTGTTTACAACATGTATCCTGTGCATATGACAAATAAATTTGACTTGACACAGATCAGAGAAGTCAGCTCAGACCGATCCAGCTCAGAGAGGCCCAGCTCCTGAGCGCCATCAGCAGCAGATTTTCATTTGGAATGGAAAATGAATGTCTTCATGCAACAACTGTTAGTGCATCAAATCCAATTGTATTGAACCGAATTGCATCGATTTATTCCTCTTATCAAACCGAATCACGCCGAATCGTTTCAAACTAAAACATATCGTTCCTGTATCGGAGCCCATGTATCTAGATGTGTGTCGAATCGTTTTTGAAAGGGAAGATGCACACCTCTGATCCTAACTCTTTGTGTGGTCCAATAGGAGATCCTGGACTCCCTGGCAGAGCTGTACTCTCTACTGCAGGAGGAGGATATGTGGGCGGGGCTGTGGCAGAAACGCTGCAAGTTCCCAGAGACTTCCACGGCTATCGCCTACGAGCAGCACGGCTTCTTCGAACAGGTGAGGCTTTGTTGGCTAATTTTATAGTGTTGAAAACATTGTACAATTATTTAGACTGCAAAGCCTACAGCTGGGTAGGTAGCTTTGCACGAGCCTTGGCTTGTGTGAGCGGGAACAGCTCATAGGTTCTTGCTCCTATCTCCTGTTTATGTAGCGTGAGGCAGCTTGATTTACAATACCCCCTGGACAGGGCGCTAGTCTATTGCAAGGCCTTGCCCCCAGTCTATCTCCTTAATGCCGAGTGCTAGGCAGACACGCACCGGGTCCCATCTTTACAGTATTTGGTATGACTCGGCTTCTAATCTCAGGGCGGACACTTAATCCACAAGTCCATGGAGTTGGTCACAGCTGGGTAGTACTGACTATTTACTATTTTTACTATTTTACCTTCAACAGGCCCAGGAGAGCTATGAGAAGGCCATGGAAAAAGCCAGGAAGGAACACGAGAGGAGCAACGCCTCTCCTGCCATCCTACCTGAGTACCAGCTCTGGGAGGACCACTGGATACGGTAAATAACTGATGTATTTACTGGTGTAGTTGTTACTTTATGCTAGGTGTAATAACTACATAATTACTGTCATAACTATGTAGTTGCTATGTAATATCTGTATTTTCCATGTAATTAATGGTGTATAAAGTAACATTCAGTGTAACTACATGTTCCTTCCATGACAGACTGACCAGGTGAATCCAGGTGAAAGCTATGATCCCTTATTGATGGCACTTGTTAAATCCACTTCAATCAGTGTAGATGAAGGGCAGGAGACAGGTTCAAGAAGGATTTTTAAGCCTTGAGACATGGAATGTGTACAGTACCAGTCAACTTTGGACATACCAATTCATTCAAGGGTTTATCTTTGTTTTTACAATTTTCTACATTGTAGAATAATAGTGAAGACATCAAAACTATGAAATAACACATATGAATTCATGTAGTAACCAAAAAAGTGTTAAACAAATCAAAATATATGCTTTTCCAACTGTCTTGAAGGAGTTCCCACATACGCTGAGCACTTGTTGGCTGCTTTTCCTTCACTCTGCGGTCTAACTCATCCCAAACCATCTCAATTGGGTTGAGGTCGGGAGATTGTGGAGGCCAGGTCATCTGATGCAGCACTCCATCACTTCTTATTGGTCAAATGTCGGGTCATTGTCCTGTTGAAAAACAAATGATAGTCCCGCTAAGCACAAACAAGATGGGATGGCGTATCACTGCAGAATGCTGTGATAGCCATGCTGGTTAAGTGTGCTTTGAATTCTAAATAAGTCAGTGTCACCAGCAAAGCACCCCCACACATCACACCTCCTCCTCCATGCTTCACGGTGGGAACCACACAAGCGAAAATCATCCGTTCACCTAATCTGCGTCTCACAAAGACACGGCGGTTGGAACCAAAACTCTCCAATTTGGACTCCAGACCAAAGGACAGATTTCCACCAGTCTAATGTCCGTTGTTTGTGTTTCTTGGCCCAAGCAAGCCTCTTCTTCTTATTGGTGTCCTTTTTAGTAGTGGTTTCTTGCCTCAATTTGACCATGAAGGCCTGATTCACGCAGTCTCCTCTGAACAGTTGATGTTGAGATGTGTCTGTTACTTGAACTCTGTGAAGCATTTATTTGGGCTGCAATTTCTGTGGCTGGTAACGCTAATTAACTTATCCTCTGTAGCAGAGGTAACTCTGGGTCTTCCTTTCCTGTGGCGGTCCTCATGAGAGCCAGTTTCATCATAGTGCTTGATGGTTTTTGCGACTGCACTTGAAGAAACTTTCAAAGTTCTTGACATTTTCCAGATTGACTGACCTTCACGTCTTAAAGAATGATGGACTATCGTTTCTCTTTGCTTATTTGAGCTGTTCTTGCCATAATATGGACTTACCCCTATTTGGTAAAAGACCATCTTCTGTATACCCTCCATACCTTGTCACAACACAACTGATTGGCTCAAACGCATTAAGGAGGAAATAAAATCCACAAATTAACTTTTAACAAGGCACACCTGTTAATTTAAATGCATTCCAGATGACTACCTCATGAAGCTGGTTGAGAGAATGCCAAGAGTGTGCAAAGCTGTCATTAAGGCAAAGGGTGGCTACTTTGAAGAATCTCAAATATAAAATATATTTTGATTTAACACTTTTTTGGTTACTACATGATTCCATATGTGTTATTTCATAGTTTTGATGTCTTCATCATTATTCTACAATGTAGAAAATAGTAAAAATAAAGAAAAACCCTTGAATGAGTAGGTGTTCTAAAACATTTGACTGGTACTGTATCTGTGCCATTCAGACGGTGAATTGGCAAGACAAAAGATTTAAGTGCCTTTGAACGGGGTATAGTAGTAGGTGCCAGGCGCTCCGGTTTGAGTGTGTCAAGAACTGCAACGCTGCTGGGTTTTTCTCGCTCAACAGTTTCCCGTGTGTATCAAGAATGGTCCACCACCCAAAGGACATCCAGCCAACTTGACACAACTGTGGGAAGCATTGGTGTCAACATGGGCCAGCATCCCTTTGGACACGTTCAACATCTTGTAGAATCCATTCCCTGACGAAATGAGGCTGTTCTGAGGGCAACAGAGGGTGCAACTCAATATTAAGAAGGTGTTCGTTATGGTTTGTACACTCCGTGTATATTGTTCATCTTGATATAAACTATCCTTCCTGTCTCTGCAGCTGTTCTAAAGAGTTGAACCAGTGGGAGCCTCTGACAGAGTACGGTCAGTCGAAAGGCAACAGCAACCCCTACCTTGTACTGGAGTGCGCCTGGAGGGTCTCCAACTGGGGCGCCATGAAGGAAGCACTGGTACAGGTAGGGGATGCCCAACACACACACACACACACACACACACACTGACACAGCTATACACAGAGACCACACACGCACGTAGACACACACTCGGCTGAGGTCTGGTTCCCAACTCCAGAACAGCTTGTAAAGCTGTGGAAATGTAGTTTGGCAGTCGTTAGGGAGGTTAATTTATCAGTCTCGTGTTATCTAAAGCAGAGTAGAGGGAACATAATAGTAGCTGACACATAACAAATACTCCTGCCTTGCTTTCTGCTCAGAGATCTGGAAACGAGCCACTGTCCTGAGGTGACATCTCATTAAACTGTCCAGCAAAACCTTTAACTAGCAACCTCTTACGTTCATTCTCTCTTATCTCTCTGTCTCTCTCGGCATGGGAAACATATGTTTACATTGCCAAAGCAAATGGAATAGACCATAAACAAAAGGGAAATAAACAAAGGAAACTTTAGTAAACATTACACTTACAAATATTTGTAAAATAATTTAGACATTTCAAATGTTATATTATTGGCTATGTACAGTGTTGGAACAATGTGCAAGTATTTGAAGCATTAAAGGGAAAATAAATATAGATTGTAAATACAATGTTTGTGCTCCACTGGTTGCCTTTTTCTCTTCTCCCTCCTCTCTCTCTTTCTCTCTCTCGCATTCCTCCATGGTTTTGCATAGATCTAATATTTACGTGTCTGTGCGTGATTAATTGGCTCAAAATCTGTTGTTTAGTGATTTGTTACTTGGCAGTGGTAGAAGACTGAGTAGAGCAGGCTGCTGCTGTTGTGGTGAGGCTCCGTCTGTCTGTCTGAATGGCCCAGCTTTCAATTAAACAGCCTCTGATAAGGCCACCACTGTCTACGGGAGATTCATCACATATCCCCTCGTCTGTGATAAGTGCATTTTGACCGATCGCTGTATTTCTCTCCCCCATCAACACACAGACAGAGAGAGGGACACACACCTAATCATGTTGCACAGGTTTGACTGCGCAGAAGGCAGGCTCCCCCTGGGCTATCGTTAGTGTTGTGGTTAATGCACTCAGTGGTCCGATCAATATAGTCTCTGCTCACCTCTGTGTCAGGCTGATTATTCATTAACCACTAAGGCCTTTAAAAATGATGAGGAGAATGAATAGAACAGGTGGTGTATTGTGTTCTGTTAGTGCTGCTTTGTGACAGTGGCATGAAGTAATTCACTTTAGAGAGGCAAACCAAAGAATTGCAGTCCAAATTCTGATAGCTGTAACACCTCAGTCACACATACTGACAAATGCACACTTGTTACTTTCTCATATGCACCTGTGTATAACCTTATGTTTGTATAGATAAGTAACTAACGTGTGTGTAACCTGTGTCTGTAAACTTTCTGTCTGTAAGGTGGAGCTGAGCTGTCCTAAGGAGATGGCGTGGAAGGTGAACATGCACCGTGGTTACCTGGCTATCTGCCACCCAGAGGAGCAGCAGCTCAACTTCATAGAACGGCTAGTGGAGATGGCCTCCAGTCTGGCCATACGGGAGTGGAGGAGACTGCCTCACATCGTGTCCCACGTACACACACCACTGCTTCAGGTAAGAGATGGGGGTGAGGCAGACACACACACAAGCACCACCTGAAATTGTTTGAAATCTCAATCAAGATGCAATAAAAGTCTGGAACACATTTATTTTGATCACTGTATTGCCAGATGAAGAGTCGATCAGTGATCCCAGCCAATTTACTGGGGAAAGACACTGATAATCTGTTTTTCTGGGAATGAAGAGGGGGGAAAACACTTCCCTGAAAGTCCAATAAAAACCAGAGGGAGGGCGATAATGGAGTGAGACAGACTATGAGAAGGAGGAAAAGAAAGAAAGAGGAGAGGGAGTGAGAGGAAAAGAAAAGAGGCAGTAACTTTAGACTGTCCGTAATTGCTTTCCCCCCATCAGATAGTGTTTGATTAAATACCTGCTCCAAAATTACATTTGCATGATGAATGGCCACTCCAAAATGAAGGTTATAAATGTGCCATCAGCTGATATTAACAGATAATTGTGAGAATATTGTACTGCCCAATTTATTTAGTTTCTGGTGATTTGATTCGGGAAGTCCACTGACCGATTTAGGCCATTTCTCTTTTGAAGGCAGCTATTTGAATTGAGTACCGCTACATTCATTTATGTGTGGTCCCATTCATTATAAAAGCAGAGGAAAACAACTTTTCTTTCCTGCTTAGTGAACTCTGCAGTCGTAAATCTCTGTTTCAGTATGATACACTTAAAGCCCAGAGAGCCTCTAAAACAAAGGCTTTCTGCAGGTAAATAACTAGGATCAAACTGCATTCGGAATCAAGCCATCATCAAAATACAGGACTTTCCAATTACTTTAGATCAATGAATTCACACCAGCTATATTGATCGGTGGCTTTAGTATTACTATTGTTTGATGAAAATGATTGATCATCATTCGGGTGTAGATACTTGCAGCTCGATAGCATTTCATATTCCGGTTTAGACCCTTCAGAATGGAGAGATATGTTGGTCTTTTTTATGTCTGAAAGAAGTGATTAGCCATTAAAGTAATATGATTTTCTGGCCCTGCCACCAGCCCTAACCTTAATATGACAGTCCCTAAAGGTAAATCGTTTATATGACACTCTGATCCATCTATCAGGTGTTGGCTTCTCGGACCTCATTTCAGAGAAGGTTTTTCCAATAGTCATCATAAGCCTGTAATACAGTGGGCTAATGGCTTTGGAATTGGCCTGGACACCCTGCCTTTTCTAATGTCATAGAGAAATAACAGAAACCCCGCCAAGTCTCATCCCTTTTTTTATTCATCTCCATCCCTCCCTCTTCTGTACCATTGTCTTCTCTTTCTCTGTTTACCCCTTCTCTCTTCCCTTTCCCAACCATTTCCTGTCACCACTGTTCTCCACCCTCACATTCTTTCTTCTTCTCCACCCCTTCTCTCTCCCCATTCCTCCATTTCTCTCAAAACCCTCAAACTTTCCCACCCCCCTCCTACCCATCCAGGCTGCCCAGCAGATCATCGAGCTCCAGGAGGCGGCCCAGATCAACGCTGGACTTCAGCCAGCCAACCTGGGCCGTAACACCAGTCTCCACGACATGAAGACTGTGGTGAAGACCTGGAGGAACAGGCTGCCCATCGTCTCTGATGACCTCTCCCACTGGAGCAGCATCTTCATGTGGAGGCAGCACCACTACCAGGGTAGGAGACACACCTATCGGTACTCAGGATGGGGGCGTCTCTAAAAGTCCACAGTGAGCTGAACCCCTCACGCTCTCTCTACCTTCCCAAATGTCAGCTCTCTAAATGACTTGTTTACTCTGCTCGACACACACACACACACATACACACACACGAGAGGGGGAGGGAAATAGAGATACAGAGGAAGAGAGACACAGAGACAGTGAGTGGGAAGGAGTATAGGAGAGGGGTAGAGGGGGAAAAAAAAGGAATGCAGAGAGACTGCAAAGGGACTGCATGACAGCACAGCCTGAGTTGGAGGGAGGGAAAGAGCCAGAGATGAGGAGCGATGAAACTGAGGCAAAGAGGGGGAGGAAGGAGGTTTGGATATGAAGAGGACAAGAGGAAGGAAAGAACAGTACAAAAAACAGAAAAGAGAAGGGGAAAGGGGAAGATGGAACAAATTCAAGGTAGAAGATGAGAATAGATGAAAAGAAAGAATAAATAGAGGAAGAGTTGAGTGAATGAAAAATCTGGTCTCCCATTGTTGTCTCAGTGTCCTCTACAACATGGCACACACTGAACATGCACACTGTGGTGCCAGGCATTGTCCTGCAGTGACTTTGAAACCATTCAGTCTCAGCATCCTGAAAAATATGTTGTCTGAGGCAGCTTTAGTTCTGCTATGAAACTACTACAGTTATGGTGACTGGTGCAACACTGGTGTAAGTACAAAAACCGAGAGAACATGAGACACAACTTTGTATTTGATTGATGCTTTCATCCAAATTAACTTTGTTACATAGTCAAGCTCAAGAATATCTAGCTCCCTCTCCTCTCCACACTGACTGGACTGTAGTGACATCTTGTCCTCCTCCTTCCTATCCCAGCCATTGTGACGGCGTATGAGACCAACACGCAGCACGACCCCAACACCAGCAATGCCATGCTGGGGGTCCACGCCTCCGCCTCTGCCATCATCCAATATGGCAAGATAGGACGCAAACAGGTACCAAGCTCACTGTCTGATCAATCACTATTTGCCAAGATTACACGTTTACCAGGGTTGAATTTAATTTCAGTTGTCAATTCTGGAAATTAAATTATTAGAGAATTGAAAATTAAATCACACATTATTTTCTGAGGATTTTCCAATTTATGAATTGAATTGTTTTCAACTCTGTGGTCCTGTGTGGCTCAGTTGGTAGAGCATGGTGCTTGCAATGCCAAGGATTGTGGGTTCGATTCCTACAGGGGCCACCTATACAAAACAATTATGCATGCATGAGCTTTGGATAAGTGTCTGCTAAATGCCTTCAGAAAGTATTCACACCCCTTTACTTTTTCCACATTTTGTTGTTACAGCCTGAATTTAGAGATTTGGTGTCATAGATCTACACACAGTACCCCATAATGTCAAAGTAGAATTTTGCTTTTAGATTTTGTTTTACAAATTAATTAAAAATGAAAAGCTGAAATGTCTTGAGTTAATAAGTATTCAACCCCTTTGTTATGGCAAGCCTAAATAAGTTCAGGAGTTAAAATTGTTGTGGACAATTAACGCTCAGTTTCAGTTGCGCACGGCATTGCAGTACGACGTACTGCTAGCAGCATTTTAGCCAAAGACTTATGTGCTGTCTAGTCTGTGTATTATAATTGTGCAATGAGCATAACAATACTTTATATATGGAATTGGCATATCGTTCTCATTCTGAGAAATACTCATCTTTTTATCCAGGTAGGCCACTTGATTTCAATATCTAAACAAAGTGAACAGGCTATGTTGTTCGAACAGATGAAGACTGACAAGGGTGTATTCATAACAGTTCAACTGTTCTACATTGTTAGCAAGCAAAGTTGGCTAGACTTTAAATATACATTTTAGCTGGCTGCTCACTAGCGTGTGGGCTTGTGCTTGAGAGATCGTTTGAGACCTGTATTAATTCTGGTCATTATTGGTGGATGTGCATGGTTCTGGTTAAATTTGTAACAAAATGTTATAGACAGACTTGAAAGATGTGATTATTGCAAAAGAAAGCAGGTTAAACTATTTCGATAAAGTATTTAAATTATTAGTGGGTCTTATGGTTGTGGAACGCTTATATTTAGCCTAGGTACAATTTTCGAAGCCCTGAATTCATTATATTATTCCTGACTCTTTGAAATGTGGTGTAGTGACCTTTTTTAATTGTGCAATAAAGTTTATTCAGAGAAAGCGTTTAAAAAAAATCGAGAAACACAATGTAGAAAACATTAAGAACACCTTACCGAATATTTAGTTGCACCCTCTTTTGCCCTCAGAACAGCCTCAATTTGTAGGGACATGGACTCTACAAGGTGTCAAAAGCGTTCCACAGGGATGCTGGCCCATGTTGACTCCAATGCTTCCCACAGTTGTGTCAAGTTGGCTGGATGTCCTTTGGGTGGTGGACCATTCTTGTAACTGTTTAGCGTGAAAAACCCAGCAGCGTTGCAGTTCTTGACATACTCAAACCGGTGCGCCTGGCATCTACTGCCATACCCCGTTCGATGGCGCTTAAATCTTTTGTCTTGCCGATTCAACCTCTGAATGGCACACACACAATCCATGTCTCAGTTGTCTCTAGGCTTCAAAATCCTTCTTGAACCTGTCTCCTCCGCTTCATCTACACTGATTTGAAGTGGATTTAACAAGTGAGATCAATAAGGGATCATAGCTTTCACCAGGTCAGTCTGTCATGGAAAGAGCAGGTGTTCCTAATGTCTTGTATACATTGTATATCGTGAATCGCCCATACGTTTTGAAAAAAACGAGCTACTCTGTTAATTTTTTATGCATAGTCACTTTAACTCTACCCACATGTACATATTACTTCAACTACCTCAACTAGCCGGTGCCCCCGCACATTGACTCTGCACCGGTACCCCCCTGTTATTTTATTTTACTTCTGCTCTTTTTTTCTCAACACTTTTTGTTGTTGTTTTATTTTACTTTTTTATTAAAAATAAATGCTGTTTAAGGGCTGTAAGTAAGCATTTCACTGTAATGTCTGCACCTGTTGTATTCGGCGCATGTGGCCAATAAAATTTGATTTGATTAAATCACAAGGCCAACCACAAGTTGCTAACTAAGATGACATTGAATGTTCCTGAGTGGCCTAGTTACAGTTTTAACTTAAAGCACCTCGAAAATCTATGGCAAGACTTGAAAATGGCTGTCTAGCAATGATCAACAACCAACTTGACAGAGCTTCAAGAATTGTAAAAAGAATAATGGGCAAATATTGTACAATCCAGGTGTGCAAATCTCTTATAGGCTTACCCAGAAAGACTCACAGCTTTTAATCGCTGCCAAAGTTGATTCTAACATGAATTGACTCGGGGTTGAATACTTATCTAATCAAGATAATCAATGTTCAACATTTTCTTCTGCTTTGACATTGGAGTATTTTGTGTAGATTGATGACCAAAAATTACAATGAAATCTATTTTAATCCCACTTTGTAACACTGTGGAAAAAGTCAAGGGGTGTCCATACTTACTGAAGGCACTGTATAATATTTTTTAATTATTATTACTTTTTAATATGTTAACCTGTGTGCGTTTCCACTCAGGGTCTGGTGAATGTGTCTCTGGACATCCTGAGTCGTATCCACACCATCCCCACGGTGCCCATCATAGACTGCTTCCAGAAGATCCGCCAGCAGGTCAAATGTTACTTGCAGCTGGCTGGGGTCATGGGCAAGAACGAGTGTATGCAGGTGAGGAAGTTGTCATTTGTAGCTCAGTTGGTAGAGCATGGCGCTTGCAACGCCAGTGTAGAGGGTTCAATTCCCGGGACCACCTGTTTGTACATGTATGCATGACTGTAAGTGGCTTTGGATAAATGCATCTGCTAAATGGAATATATTATTACATTATATTAAGTATTTTTTTGTGATGATGATGATGATAATAGCACTCTGACTTGAGGAAAGTTATGATTAAGACATTTTGTAAAATCTGGTAAATGTTCTCCTGTCTGAAGTTATTTCACCATTAAAAACCCCATTGAAGACTTCACTTCAATGCCTTTGAAATACATGATCTTAAATGATGAAATAACACTTTCTATTGAAATTCCCTTTCTAAATAGTAGCTGAATATATTTGGTGAACAAAGTTGTTTTCATCTCCCCCTGCAGGGTCTGGAGGTGATCGAGTCGACCAACCTGAAGTACTTCACCAAGGAGATGACAGCTGAGTTCTACGCTCTCAAAGGCATGTTCCTGGCCCAGATCAACAAGTATGTGCTCATCTAGACACTACTACAAGTGATTGCTGAGTATGAGTATCAGAATTAGCTCTTGAGGTTGACTTGGTGACGGACTCACTCTTCAGGTTGACTTGGTGACAGACTCAGGTTATAATCTCAGACACTTATTTCTACCCGTGTCATCAACACACGCCCGTGTCTACACTACGTTCTCACTGCAGGGGGTGCCTGTAGAGCACACACACCTCTGTTCCCTTCCCCAATCACACACGCACACAGACACGCACGCACACAAATAAACATGCGCGCACACACGACACACACACAACCCTCTCTATGCCCTTCCCCAATCACAAACCCACGCACACCCCTCTTTCCCCCTCACCCTTCAGCGCCCACTCTCCTCATCAGCCCTGACATGATGACGGTGCCCCGCGGGGGTGAAAGAAAAATGGGGGATAGCTTATTAAATATCCACGCCCGAATAATTAACTCGCTGGCAATTTACTGGAATCTCTGGTATCAGCAGAACTTAGCCTAACCTCAGCAGTAGGGACCTAATGCAGTCATTACGAACACACACGCACAAATACACACACTCTGCGGGAGTATGAACAGCGTGGTTCGGGCCTGGGATAGACGGTAGGAGCCTTCAGTTAAGTGGTGTGTCTGTGTGTGACTTGACACTCGGCTTGGCGTCTCTCCCCCTCTCCTCCCCTCTACCCCTCTCTCGCCCCGCTCCACTCCTGCTGAGGAGAAACTGTTTATGTACTTTGACACCGCCAATGTGACGAGCACATAAAGTATGACTGTGGGGGCCTGGCTTAGACTCCCACAGCAATCAGCCTCCATGTTCCTTTATCGCAACGCCAAATAGGTTGTTATAATAACCCATTATAATTGATTGGCCCGTGAGCCATTTTAAAGTAGGTGTGCTTACTCCTTGCTGTTTGAGGTTTGAAACCTCGCCCAAAATTGTGGTTTGATTAAGTCCTGTTGAGCTCTTGTTCTGTTGACAGACAAGTGTGTCTTTATTTTGACTGAGGGGCAGAGGTTTATTTTTTTATGGGGTACCTTGCCCCTTATTCCTTAAAGAAATCCTGAATGGGTTGTAAAATTATTAGAATGGTTTATGGCTTAGGGGGGAGGAGGATGTATTGAAGCAGCTGATGGCTGTACATATTTTTCACCGTCAGCATAAACAACAGTCAAACGTAGGTCTCTGCCAGATTCCACCCTGTCTCCCTCTCTCTCTTTTCTTGGTATTTAAGCTATAAACTTGAGCTGAACACTTGAGCTTTGAGTTCAAGATTCTGGAAGCAGGATAAAGAGCCTTGTCAATGAGGGGAAGTTGAAAAATGATGGATATTGATATACATATTAGAAAGATCATCATTTTAACGCTCTATCCTCCCCCTCTCTGCCGTACTCTTCCCTTTCCCAATCCCCATTTCTCGCCATCCTTCATCCCCCTTCTCTCTCAACATACTCTCCGCTCTATCCTCCCTTCTCTCTCTTCCTCTCCATATCCCATCCATGTATCTCTTTCTCCTTATCTTCCCATTTCCCCCTTCCTCCCCACTCCTTTATCCTCCCTCTCCATTCCCCCTTACTCTCTCTCCCCCACTCTCTTCATTACTCCACCCCTCCTTCAGGTCAGAGGAGGCCAACAAGGCGTTCTCGGCAGCGGTCCAAATGCATGATGTCCTGGTGAAGGCTTGGGCCATGTGGGGGGACTACCTGGAGAACATCTTCGTTAAGGAGCGCCAGCTGCACCTTGGCGTCTCCGCCCTCACCTGCTACCTGCACGCCTGCCGACATCAGAACGAGAGCAAGTCACGCAAGTACCTGGCCAAGGTGGGTTAGAGATGGAGTTCTCCTCTCTACTGCTCGTGTGTTCCAAGCACATAGATGAGCTAGAGTTATATGCCTCATGAGGGACAGCTACGAATTTAGTAACCTTCCAGCTTCTATGAAGGACATGGCTCTAGCATGCCATCATTTGGCGTAAGCAACTGCTAATATTATGGATCACAAATGGTGAAAAGGATAGAGGTGCGTTTATTTGCTTGCCTTGCAACTTCACCTGTGAAGGTCTCACACACGGATGAACAGAAAAGCACTTGTGAAGTTAAACCCACAAATGGTTTTCAGTGTGTAGGAGTTCTATTCATTAGACATAATTTAGACTCCACTGGGGTGTAACTAGGTTCTCCATTCCCAAGATAAATCGAAATGGAGTATTTACAGAAAGCACTTTCTCTTTCTGTTTGAGTGGAGCGCTCATGTCAAAGAAACACCCTCTATTCTTCACCACCAATCACTACTATAGTCTCATTTTCTCTAGGGAAGGGATTATCAACTAGATTCAGTCTCGGGAATGTTTATTCTTGAGTGGATGGTCAGGGGGGCGAACAACTCTACCGGTCTAAAGTTTTAGAACACCTACTCAATCAGCTTCATGGGGTAGTCACCTGGAATGCATTTCAATTAACAGGTGTGCCTTGTTAAAAGTTAATTTGTGGAATTTCTTTCCTTAATGCGTTTGAGCCAATCAGTTGTGTTGTGACAAGGTAGGGAGGATATACAGAAGATAGCCCTATTTGGTAAAAGACCAAGTCCATATTATGGCAAGAACAGCTCAAATAAGCAAAGAGAAACGACAGTCCATCATTACTTTAAGACATGAAGGTCAGTCAATAGGGAACATTTCAAGAACTTTGAACGTTTCTTCAAGTGCAGTTGCAAAAACCATCAAGCGCCATGATGAAACTGGCTCTCATGAGGACCGCCACAGGAATGGAAGACCCAGTGTTATCTCTGCTGCAGAGGATAAGTTCATTAGAGTTACCAGCCTTAGAAATTGCAGCCCAAATAAATGCTTCACAGAGTTCAAGTAACAGACACATCTCAACATCAACTGTTCAGAGGACACTGTGTGAATCAGGCCTTCATGGTCGAATTGCTGCAAAGAAACCACTACTAACGGACACCAATAAGAAGAAGAGACCTGCTTGGGCCAAGAAACACGAGCAATGGACATTAGACCGGTGGAAATTTGTCCTTTGGTCTGGAGTCCAAATTTGAGATTTTTGGTTCCAACCGTGGTGTGGGTGAATGGATGATCTCTGCATGTGTATTTCCCACCGTAAAGCATGGAGGAGGAGGTGTTATGGTGTGGGGGTGCTTTGCTGGTGACACTGTGATTTTATTTAGAATTCAAGGCACACTTAACCAGCATGGCTACCACAGCATTCTGTAGCGATACGCCATCCCATCTGGTTTGGCCTTAGTGGGACCTGTAGTGTATCTACAAATATTTTGTAGACTGCAAATTGACCACAAGAAGCCAAAACATATATAATATTTGACTAAAACATAATCATTTCAAACCTTGCTTGTTGGTGTATGATCACATATCTCTATTATGCATGGTAATACTTTGGAACAGATTTACAAAATTAATGTATTATTAATAGTGTGTGTGTGTGTGTGTGTGTGTGTGTGTGTGTATACACTGAACAAAAATATAAACGCAACATGCAACAATTTCAAAGATTTTACTGAGTTACAGTTCATATAAGGAAATCAGTCATTTGAAATGAATTCATTAGGCCCTAATCTATGGATTTCACATGACTGGGAATGGTCACAGATACCCAAAAAAAAAAAGAGGGCCGTGGATCGGAAAACCAGTCAGTATATGCTGTGAACATAATTTGCCTCATGCAGCGCGACACATCTCCTTCGCGTACAGTTGATCAGGCTGTTGATTGTGGAATGTTGTCCCACTCTTCTTCAATGGCTGTGCAAAGTTGCTGGATATTGGCGGGAACTGGAACACGCTGTCGTACACTTCTACAATCCAGAGCATCCCAAACATGCTCAATGGGTAACATGTCTGAGTATGCAAGCCATGGAAGAACTGGGACATTTTCAGCTTTCAGGTATTGTGTACAGATCCTTGTGACATGGAGCCATGCATTATCATGCTGAAACATGAGGTGATGGCGGCGGATGAATGGCACGGCAATGGGCCTCAGGATCTCATCACGATATCTCTGTGCAATCAAATTGCCATCTAAAAAATGCAATTGTGTTTGTTATCTGTAGCTTATGCCTGCCCATACCATAACCTCACCGCTACCATGGGGCACTCTGTTCACAACTGCAGTCAGGTCAAGACCCTGGTGAGGATGACGAGCATGCGGATGAGCTTGCCTGAGACGGTTTCTGACAGTTTGTGCAGAAATTATTCGGTTGTGCAAACAGTTTCATCAGACGATCCCGCAGGTGAAGATGCCGGATGTGGAGTTCCTGGGCTGGCAAGGTTACACGTGGTCTGCAGCTGTGAGGCCGGATGGACGTACTTCCAAGTTCTCTAAAACGACGATGGAGAGGTGGCTTATGTTAGAGAAATTAACATTAAATTCTCTGGCAACAGCTCTGGTGGACATTCCTGTAGTCATCATGCCAATTGCACACTCCCTCAACTTGAGACATTTGTGGCGTTTTGTGAGACAACTGCACATTTTAGTGGCCTTTATTGTCCCCAGCACAAGGTGCACCCTGTGTAATGATCATGCTGTTTAATCAGCTTCTTGATATGCCACACCTGTCAGGTGGATGGATTATCTTGGCAAGGAGAAATTCTCTCTAACAGGGATGTAAACAAATTTGTGCACAACAATTGAGATTGTTTTTTTTTTTTTTTTTTTTTTGCAAATAGTCCACGTAGCCAATTGATTAGTTGTTCAGCAGTCTTATGGCGTGGGGTTAGAAGCTGTTAAAGGAGCCTTTTGGACCTAGAGTTGGCGTTCCGGTACCTCTTGCCATGCGGTAGCAGAGAGAACAGTCTATTACTTGGGTGGCTGGAGTCTTTGACTATTTTGGGGAGGCTTTCCTCTGACACCGCCTAGTATAGAGGTCCTGGCTGGCAGGAAGCTTGGCTCCAGTGATATACTGGGCCGTACTCACTACCCTCTGTAGCGTGTTATGGTGGGATGCCGAACAGTTGCAATACCAGGCGGTGATGCAACTGGTCAGGATGCTCTCGATGGTGCAGCTTTATAACTTTTTTTGAGGATGCACATGCCAAATCTTTTCAGTCTCCTCAGGGGGAATAGGCTTTGTCCTGCTCTCTTCACAAATGTCTTGGTGTGTTTGGACCATTATAGTTTGTTGATGTGGACACCAAGGAACTTGAAGATCTTGACCCACTCCACTACAGCCCCGTCGATGTGAATGGGGGCGTGTTCTGTCCTCCTTTTCCTGTAGTCCACGATCAGCTCCTTTGTCTTGCTCACGTTGAGGGAGAGGTTGTTGTCCTGGCACCACACTGCCTGGTCTCTGACCTCCTATAGGCTGTCTCATCGTTGTCTGTGATCAGGGCTACCACCGTTGTGTCGTCAACAAACTTAATGAATGTGTTGGAGTCGTGGGTGAACAGGGAGTACAGGAGGGGACTAAGCACACACCCCTGAGGGGCCCCTGTGTTGAGGATCAGCGTGTCAGATGTTGGTGCCTACCCTTTTATATGTTGCGTTTTTATATTTTTGTTCTATGTATGTATATATGTATGTGTGTGTGTATATATATGTGTAGACACACAGTGTAGAAAACATTAAGGACACCTGCTCTTTCCATGACATAGACTGACCAGGTGAATCCAGGTGAAAGCTATGATCCCTCATCGATCTCACTTGTTAAATCCACTTCAATCAGTGTAGATGAAGGGGAGGAGACAGGTTAAAGAAGGATTCTTAAGCCTTGAGACAATTGAGACATGGATTGTGTATGTGTGCTATACAGAGGGTGAATGGGCTAGACAAAATATTTAAGTGCCTTTGGTCAGGGTATGGTAGTAGGTGCCAGGCTCACTGATTTTTGTCGAGGACTGCAATGCTGCTGGGTTTTGCACACTCCACTTGACACTACTGTGGGAACCATTGGAGTCAACATGGGCCAGCATCACTGTGGAACACTTTTTACACATTGTAGAGTTCATGAATTGAGGCTGTTCTGAGGGCAAAGGGGGTGGGGGGGTGCTACTCAATATTAGGAAGGTGTCCTTAATGTTTTTTTATATATATATATATATCACAGTTGAAGTCGGAGGTTTACGTACACTTAGGTTGGAGTCATTAAAACTAGTTTTTCAACCACTCCACAAATGTCTTGTTAACAAATTATAGTTTTGGCAAGTCGGTTGGGACATCTACTTTGTGCATGACTCAAGTAATTTTCCCAACAATTGTTTACAGACAGATTATTTCACTTATAATTCACTGTATCACAGTGGGTCAGAAGTTTACATACACTAAGTTGACTGTGCCTTTAAACAGCTTGGAAAATTCCAGAAAATTATGTCATGGCTTTAGGAGCTTCTGATAGGCTAATTGACATCATTTGTGTCAATTGAAGGTGTACCTGTGGATGTATTTCAAGGCCTACCTTCAAACTCAGTGCCTCTTTGCTTGACATCATGGGAAAATCAAAAGAAATCAGCAAAGACCTCAGAAATAAAATTGTAGACCTCCACAAGTCTGGTTGATCCTTGGGAGCAATTTCCAAACGCCTGAAGGTACCATGTTAATCTGTACAAACAATAGTACGCAAGTATAAACACCATGGGACCACGCAGCTGTCATACTGCTCAGGAAGGAGACGTGTTCTGTCTCCTAGAGATGAACGTACTTCGGTGCGAAAAGTGCAAATCAATCCCAGAACAACAGCAAAGGACCTTGTGAAGATGCTGGAGGAAACGGGTACAAAATTATCTATACCCACAGTAAAACAAGTCCTATATCGACATAACCTGAAAGGCCGCTCAGCAAGGAAGAAGCCACTGCTCCAAAACCGCCATA